ACACACACACACACACACACACACACACACACACACACACACACACACACACCACCCCAGGATGTCACACGTATTCTATACCCCAAGATGACAGGAACCCACTGTTGAAAGTTTTTTCAGAATGGAAGAAATTTGATAATTTTTTTTTTTTTTTGGTTAGTCGTAGGGCTTGAAGTCTGGGCTTAGGTGCTGTCCCTGAGCTCTTTGGCTCAAGGATAGCATTCTACCACTTGAGCCACAGCACTATTTCTGATTTCCTGGTGGTTAATTGGAGATAAGAGTCTCAATGATTTTCATGCCAGGGCTGGCTTTGAACCACAATCCTTAGATCTCAGCCTCCTGAGTAGCTAGGATTACAGATGTGAGCCACTGGCACCCATGAGTTAAATGTTTTAATCAATATATGGAGGGTGAACTTAACAGGCTAGTTAGGAAAGTAATCATATACCCCTTAATAGGAGAGTGGTAACCAATCTAAGAGATGCAGGCTGTTAAACAGTTCTTAAAAGAATTTCTTAACTACAAGGGGAAATCACATTTGTAAGTATAAAGTCATGGTTGTTATTGAAACCAGTAATCCATAAGGTAATCCTATCTTAACACTATACATCTGATGACAAATGCTACATAAATTTTGTGAAATTTAAAAATATAGTCCTAAGATATTTTAAACACTTCTCATATTAACAGATACAGGACTGGGCCTGGTAGCATACACTGAGTCATGGTAACATATATTTATAATCCCCACACTGGGAAGACAGGAAGATTGAGTATTTTTCTTGCTGGTTCGGGAGCTTGAATTCTGGGCCTGACGCACTACCCACCCCTGAGCCTCTTTGTGCTCAAGGCTAGCCCCTGAAACAACAGCACCACTTCCAGCTTTTTGTGAGTAGTTTACTGGAGATATGGACTTTCATGCCCGGGTTGGCTTTGAACGACAATTCTCAAATCTCAGCCTCCTGAGTAGCTAGGATTATAAGTGTGAGCCACTGGCATCTAGCTTAAGAGATTTGGTTTTTTGTTTTTTGGGTTTTTTGAGAGAAGACCCTATGGAAAAAAATAGAGGACTATGTTTTTTCCCTCCACAATTTCCACAATTGCAGAAGTTATACTATGCCTGTTTGCAGACCTACACCTTATGAGACATACAGATCCTAGATTTTGAGGGTTATTTGTAAGTGCTTTTGAGTTTACCTAAAGGCAAATATGCTTCCATATGAATACAGCCACCACCCAACATACCACATAATATAATCATTGCAATGTCATAAGTTTTGAGCTAGTTTATTACTTGGTACAATAAATTCTGAGAAATGCTAATTTCTTTTAAAGGTTCCTGAAAACAGGAGAAGTCCTCAGATGCATACAAAACCAATCTTGGAATGTTAGGATCCCAAGAACATGAAGCATCATAACTCATTCTTATCTATAATCTAATATACAGCACTTCGAATTTCTATTAAGTTCTAGATTATTTCTTCATAGAAATTCAGAAGTTTCAACTTGTATAAATCTCTTGCCCTGCTTCAAATGAGATAATCTGATCTCCCAAGTAAAAACTAGTTCTTTCATGCTTAATCCATTTCCCTGTGCATATGGTATAAAACAGTGATAAAAAAAATAGGTACTTTAGAGTGAGATTACCACGCTCGCCTACCAAATGTGTGACTTTGGGAAAGTTAATTCTGTTTTGATAGCTCTCTCATCTGAAAAATGAAAACATACCTGAAGAGTTGATCAGCTTGAGTTTATGTTTACAAAACATTTAAAGCTAGCCAAGCGCTGGTGGCTCACCCCTGTAATTCTAGCTACTCAGGAGGATGAGATGTGAGGTTCCCAGTTCAAAGCCAGCCCAGACAGAAATTTCAGTGAGGCTCTTATCTCCAACTAACCACCAGAAAACCAGTAGTAGTGCTGTGGTGCAAGTGGTAAAGTGCTAGTCTTGAGCTGAAGAGCTCAGAGACAGCACCCAGGCCCAGAATTCAAGCCCCATGACCAACCAAAAAAATAATAATAATAAATAAATAAAACAAAAAAACCACATTTAAAGCACCAATGACTGGCACATGGTGTAAGCTATTGTTAAAACAATAAATACTAAATAAAAAAATAAGGATCTTAATGGCAATTCAGTTGGTAACCACCAGAATATAAACAAACTATATCCTTACGGAGTGCAAGTTGCATGCCTTCAACCACTTTCCGTTTTCCTGTAGATGGTTTTGATTTTTTACTCCTTACAGTTGACCCCCGACTGCTGATTCCACTAATAACTGACATAGTGTCATCATCACCACCAGCTAGCAAAGAATTTCGGTAAGACATCAGTGGAAGCCACACATCTTCTCTTCGGAGTGACATCTGAAAGGTCATGAACTTTTCCAAGTAAACATACCTTAAAGAGAAATATAAACGGTTACCTTTGACATATAAAACTGCCAATTCTACTACTCCCTTAGTTATAGGAATATAATTTGATCTCTAGTCAGCAGGACACTGATTAGCAATTTTATCTCTATCAATATTCTTACATTGAATGAAAAAAATCAAGGACTTCAGATTAACACTTCTGAATTATCTACTACATCCCACCCACATACAGAAAATATAGGAAGATGAATCATATATACTCCCTATCTGTAAAAAAATTCTTCTTGATGGAAATAATAAATTTGCCTTTGGATCAAATTATCACAAGGCTTATATGTAATTTTACAATGAAAACTCAGTATTCATCTGACTTCTATTCACTAGGCATTCTTTTCTCAGTTCTTTTATTATTCCTACCATTACATGGGGGAAACATTCTCTCCATTGTACAGATGAGAAAAGAAATGATACGAAATTTTAAGACTATGTACACACAATAGTAACAATAAGTAGTATATCCATGATTTACATATGATCTGACACTAAAGCCAAATTATGTTTAGTAAAGACAATTATTTATCAACTAATTGTAAAGTTCAATTCAAATATTTATTGCCATTGCAGTGAATAATTCCAATCAATTTACATTTACTAACAGAGTTACATATATACTGCTTTGTGGTAATTGTTCAGTATATTTTAATTTATAATACATAAATAGTAAATAGTAAAGACTCTCCAATGTTGCTATGAATAGGCTAGCAATCTGGGAATTATTAGCAGTCATATAAAACATAAAGTTTGAGCTAAACTATGCTCACTGGTAGAGATTCAGAGCCCTATACCCACCATATAACCTAATATATTCTAATAATATTCTAATATTACAAAAAAAACTCTCACTGAAGCCATTCTTATTTCTGTTCCTCTCTGCTTCAGAGGGTCTACTAACCTGAATTTGCTATTTATCATCTCCATGCAGAGTGTTTATATTTCACATATAGCTATAGGTGTCCATAAGCACAAAAACAAGACTTTGTACAGGATAATATAAAATTCTCATTAGGATGCTATATGGCATTCCATAAGCTATCCATCTATTGAGTCATTTTCTTATAGATGAATAGATCTGCACTACCATACTTGGCCAATTCAATTTTTAATTGGAATAAATTCACATGTAATAAAATGTACAGAAATTAAGAGTATAATTAGATCATTTTGAAAATGTATGGCATTTATATAACCCACATACTATACAAGATGTAAAACATTGCCAGGACCCAAGAAAGTATTCTATTGTCTCTTCTCATTCAGTAAAACCAGTCCTAAAAGTACCACAACTGTGGTTTCTATGACCACAGATTAGTTTTTGTTTTCTTTAGAATTTCATAGAAAATAAATAGTCTTTAAATGCAAAATATTGGTGGATTTATACAAATGATTATACCATGAGATTTATATTCTTCCTCCCTTTTGCAACACAAAACTAAGGGGAGGAAATTTAAACCTATCTTTTGGATTTATCTCTCATTAAGACATGATTTTAGAAGACTAACACAGAGAAGTTCCCTGTTAAATGGTCTATCAAAAACAGGAAAATTAAACTGAAATGATTTTTTTTTGGTCAGCCGTGGGGCTTGAACTCTAGGCCTAGGTGCTGTCCCTGAGGTCTTCAGCTCAAGGCGAGCATTCTACCACTTGAGCCACAGCGCCACTTCTGGTTTTCTGGTGGTTCATTGAAGATAGGAGTCTCAAAGGCTTTCCTACCCAGGCTGGCTGTGAACCGCAATCCTCAGATCTGAGTAGCTAGGAGTACAGGTATGAGCCACTGGCACCCAGTGTGAAATGATTTTTTTTAAAAAAAGATTTCTACTTTGCACTGGAGCTAGAGCTCAAGACACAAACTGGGAGGATGCTCTTGATGGATCCTCACTCAATATTAAGGTCTTTTAAATGCTCCCTCCTCGGCTGAGCTATGGCAATAATACATATCAGAATATATAAGGCACTCTAGTTAACATCTCAAAAGCCACAATGTTACTGGGGGGGGATTTACATTATCAAAGTTGAGTATTATATAATATAAATGTGGCTCAAGTGGTAGAGTACCAGCTTTGAGAGAAAACACACATAGTTGCTTAAATACAAAGTTTTTATTCTGTATATAATGTAATCCTACAAATGGATATGTAGAAAAAAAACAAAGTGTAATAGAAGCTCTTAATTCCGAAATCAATTTAAATATGACATTTCTAGCAAATACATACACTGTTCTTTTGTCTTGGCGGAGAAGTTTAGAAGAAAATTCACTGAGAATATCAAGAAATGCCAAATTTAAAGGCGGATGACTCTCCCCTTGTGGATTAGGCTCCTTAAAAGCAAATTCTATGCCATCTCTGCAAAGAAACAAAACATTATGTAAATATTTAAATAACTTCATTATATAAGAACTTAGAAAGCAAATTTCACTCAGCCATTTATTTCTACTACTAAAATATTTCTTCTGTCAAGCTTTTAACTTGAGGAATCAGAGAATAAGGAGGGTTTATGTGTGAGAGTAAAGGGCAACATTTTAGGTAACTGAATATTTTTTTTTTGGTCAGTCGTGGGGCTTGAACTCTGGGCTTGGACGCTGTCCCTGTGCTCTTCAGCTCAAGGCGAGCGCTCTACTGCTTGAGCCACAGAGCCACTTCTGGTTTTCTAGTGGTTTATTGGAGGTAAGAGTCTCACAGGCTTTCCTACCCAGGCTGGCTGTGAACCATGATCCTCGATCTCAGCCTCCTGAGTAGCTAGGACTACAGGTGTGAGCCACCAGTGCCCGGCTTGTGAATATTTTTAAAACAAACAAAACATATATAAAACCAGTTTCCCTTCAGTTAAATGTGATTTGATATGTCTAGATTTCTTTTTTTCTTTTTCTTTTTCCAGGGCTGAGGACAGAACCCAGGGCCTTGCGCATGCCGGGAGGGCGCCCTTCCGCTGGGCTAAACCCCGAGCCCCGATATGTCTAGATTTCTGTATTTTTGTTTCATTTTGTTTTCTGACAAAGTCTTCCTATGAAGCCCAACCTGGCCAAATCCTCTACCCTTCTGCCTCAGCCTCTCAGGTGTAGAGATTATAGGTGCATTTACCACACCCAGTAGGCATTCTTTACTCAATATTTTTTCTCCCATAAAATAAGCCATATTCCATTACATCATTTTGCAACACATTACCAATACAGGATCTTGAATATTATATAGAACTAACATATCTAAGACTAACTTAGAAACAGTACCTGTGGCTCACATCTGTAATCCTAGCAACTCAGGTTAAGATCTGAGGATCAAAATTCAAAGCCAGCAATTCAAAGCCAGCCAGGGCAAGAAAGTCTGTTGAAGCTCTTATCTCCTCTAATCTACAAAAAAAAACCCAGAAGTGGATCTGTGGTTCAAGTGGTAGAGCCCTAGCCTTGAGCATAAAAAGCTCAGAGACAGAGCCTAGGTCCTGATTTCAAGCCCATGGTACCCTTCTGCCTCACACATAAAATGACTCCCTGTAATGACTTATTTCAAAATTTTAAAATTAAACTCTAGTCAGGGGCCAATTTAATTACATTTATGTGGAAATTTAAATACCTCAGTTAATCAAGACAACAAGGCAGCATTATGCTCCTTCAAAAATGTAGCTGGGCCAGGCACCAATGGCTCATGCCTATAACCACAGGTATCAGGAGAATGAAACCTGAGAACACCAAATAAACAGCAAAAAGCTAGAAGTGGAGGCATGGACCAAGTATTAGAGTGCCAGCCTTAAAAGGAAAAGTTCAGAAAAAAAGTATGAGGTAAAAACAATGCAAATCTAACTGGGAAAGAAAGAAGGCTATAACATGAAGACAATCATATATTACTTCTCGAAATAATCACTAGATTGTGGTCCTTAAATATTACCAAAAATTGCCATCAATATAGAAAAAGACCTGAAAAAGTGAATTTGATACTTTATAACAAGATGAAAAAAGAAAGCAAATTAAAGTGGCAGATATGGGTAAAAGAAACAAGAAAAGGAAATTTTCTGTGGGAAAACAATGTAAATAAACTTTTTCAAACTAAGAAAGCTACAGGAATGAAAAAGAGAGTAACAAAGTAGATAAATTTCAATGAAGAGCCCAAGCCTCTTAGTGCTTCCAAAAAACAAGATTCTTTAACCCATAGTTAATGAAGAGATTTAATATACAGTTGTTTATATTAAAGCTCGAAAGCATATCTATACTGTAAAAAGCTTAATTGAACTATAAATTATATATGTAATATAAAAGCAAATATTGCCAACTTCGATAAGGAGTAAAATAGAAGGTTGTGATTCAATGAATACACAAATGCAAGTCATTATAAAATAAAAAACAGGGCCATTCTCACCTACTTTCAGTCTATCAGAAATGTATATGTTTTCTAACAAACTTTCCTATTACTTTCACAAAAACTTTTTAACTAGAAGAACAAAAAGAAAAAAAACTAGACATAAAAGAATCAAACCTTAAACGTAACAGTAGATTATGACAAAAAACTGAGTACAGATTTAGTAATGACTGTTAAATATATGCAGTCTCATCTTCCATGATTTGTAAAGATTTTGTATTGTTTTAACTGAAATAGTTTCTTATAAAGGGGCTTAGTCCTTATTAACATATCACTATAACTGGTTCATAAACTTAAAAGAAATCACAGTACAGATTTATAGACAAATACAGCTATTATAAATGAAAAGGCTAGACATACACACAAAATACTTTTATGGCTAAATATTACAAGTGTTAAATAAAATGTCTGGAGATTACTTGTGTAACATGGCAATAGCTTCTCTTGTTTTCAGTTGATCAAGCCCAAAAGTTAAAGCAAAACGTCGAGCAAGTTCTTTTATGCCACTAAAAGTTGAAGATGATCTATCAAAATTATAGCCATTTTCTTGTATCATTTCATTAAAAAGCTGTTGGGAAAGAAAGAAAGAATGTTAAAGTTTTTCTGGTGACTATGGATTAGCATTTTTTTCAATTAAGATAATTTCTATTTAAAATATTCAAAAAAGCACAGTGTTTATGATTTTAAAAAGTGGAATTTTTAAAACAACATGGTCCAAATGACCAAAATTTCTAGCACTTAATGTATTTAAAAGAGGTCATTAGCAATGTTAGAAACTCTAGGTGAATTCTGTCAGAATGCTGTTCTGCTGGCATTAGGTATAAACAGAGCATACAACATAAAGGGAAAGGAAACCCACTGAACATATTAACTGTATTTGTTTGTTATTTGTAGCACTAATAGTATGAAAGTCATGACATCAAAAATGTTAGGGTGGTATTTACACTCAAGTGTTGCATCCTCACATTAAAAGCATTCACCATAAAGTAGTCCAAGTAGAATTCTGAGGTCCCTTGAAGAAGCAATTCTAATTACAGAAGACATAATATCCAATACATATAATGGTAACATTAATGTAGAATCCACATAATATGTACAAATAACTCATATGAAGAATTTACACTATGTAAAAAATGTTTCAAAGCCAGACAAAATGGCTCATGCCTATGATCTTAGCTATGAGAGGCAGAGATCAAGAGAACTGAGGTTCAAGATTAGCCTGGGCAAAAGGTTCATGGAACCCCAACTAAATCAACAAGTTAGGCACAGCTTTACACTCTTGTAATCCCACAGATAAAAGTCTTAAGTAAGAGGATAGCAGTCTGTGGCCAGACCAGTGAAAGATGCATGACCATGAATAATAACTAAAGAAAAAGGGCTAAGGATATGGCTGAGGATATGAGTTAAAACCCCAATAACATCCAAAAAAAATTTAGTGCTAATATATGAGGACAAAACATTTTTTTTTACAAAAGCAATCTCATCTGGATGCTAGTGGCTCACAAATGTAACCCAGCTACTTAGGAGGCTGAGATCTGAAAATCACCATTCAAAGCCAGCCCAGGCAGGAAAGTCCATGTGACTCTCATCTCCAATTAACTGCAGAAAACCAGCAGTGGAGCTGTGGCTCAAAGTCCTAGAGTGTTAGCCTTGAGCACAAAAAAATACCTTCAGGGACAGTGCCCAGGCCCTGAGCTCAAGCCCCACAATCAAATAAAAACAAAAACAAAAACAACCAAAAACATCCCACAGTGTCAAATAGAAAGAGTCCATCCATAAAACAGAATATTACAAAGTTATTAAAATGTCTAAGAATTCAAGGTAAATATCCAATAAAAATAAAATCTATGTTGAAGAGTTATCTGTACTCTTGTGCTCATTGCAGGTATATTCACAATAGCTAAAATATACAATCAATCTGTCCATTATTGAACAAGTGAAAAAAAAAGTGGCAGGCTGCTACTGGTGGCTTATGCCTGTAATCCTAGCTACTCAGGAGGCTGAGATCTGAGGATCATGGTTCAAAGTCAGCACAGGTAGAAAAGTCCATAAAACTCTTATCCCCACTTAACAACCAAGAAGCCAGAAGTGGACGAGTGGCTCAAGTGGTAAAAGCACTAGCCTTGAGCAAACAAACAAAGGCTAAGGGACAGCACCCAAGACAGGCAAACACAAAGTGGTACATGCATATATGCTTATGAGTGAGCATATACACAAGAATATTTAGCACTCAAAAGGAATATGTCACTTGCAGAAAAATGGATGAACCAAGAGAACATATTAAGTGAAGTCTGTCAGGAATAGAAAGCCAAAAACCACATTAATCTCACAGTTATGAGACTCAAAAAAGTTGAAGTCATAGAAGCAAAGAGTATGATGATGGTTCCCTCCAGATAGGGTAAAGAAGGGGGAATGGGAGGACTGTTGGTAAAACCATACAAATTTTCAGGTAGGATGGGTAAGTTCTGAAGACCTACTGTACAGTACACTGAGCATAGTTAAGAATAAGGGATTGAAACTCAGTAGTAGATCACTCAGCTAGCATGCACTAGACCCTAGGTTTTAACTCAAAAGAAAATGCATGCATGCACACATACACATACACATACTGTATATCTGAAAATAGTTCATGTTTGTATCTTAAATGCTTTTGCCACAAAAAGAATTTTTTAAGGTAATGCATGTTAATTAGGTATATTTAATATATGTGTACATATACATACAAAAATACCATGTAGTTTGCCACAAATACATAGGTGTAGGTGTGTGTGTGTGTGTGTGTGTGTGTGTGTGTGTGTGTGTGTGTGTGTGTGTGTGTATCTGTGTGTAAAATCTGTCAATTCAACCTTGGTAAATAACTATCTCCTGGTTTTGTTTTCAGTCTCCACAGAATATTATATTTTGAATACTTTCCACAGCAAACTGCTACTATTTTACAGAAAAAGTTACTTAAATGCAATCGCTAAAATCTTTTTAATTTTTAATGAATCTTGAAATTTGCAAATGAAATTAAGAACTTTCATGCTTACATTTCTAAGAAGCAAGAAAGTTCATCAAGGCCAATTATGGCAGTTTATACTTTTAATCCCAGATACTCAGCAAGTGGACATTAGATACTGTTCAAGGTCAGCCCAGGCAAAAAAAGCTCAAACAAGCCAGGTGTGGTGGGGTACACTATGATACTCAGTATGGGAAAGCATAGCAAAAAGGAATATAGTCTAAGTCCAGTCCCAGGAGGAAATATGAGGCCCTTTCAAAAGGAAAAAAGGCTCAAGTATGACTCAAATGGTAGATCACCTGCTTGAAAAGCAGATATTGCCCAAAACACAAACTTCATCAACTTGGATTGAAGTGTGTTTTGTATGCAAATTTTATCTCTAAAGGCAAAAGTATTCTGTACCTTTAACCTGGTAAGATTGTCTTCCCACTAGCAAAACAAAATTGATTTGTATTCTGGTTATGAAACTCATATACCGTTCTCTAAAAAAAGTTTAGAAATATATAGAATGTATAAAGAAAAAAGTAAAAGTCACTTGAAATCTAGCAAAGCATGTTAACAACTGCTAACATTTCAGTGATTACTTTTCCAGTCACAGAAGGGTAGGCAAAATTTCATAAGGCTATTTTTGTAATCTCTTATCCTTTGTTTCTCATACCTATGGTGGTTTTACACATTAAATATATATCTACGTTAATTTTAAATACTACATGCACCATAAGGCAATTCAGAAATTTGCTACATATTGAATATTCTATTATGGGCTTTTGAATTATTGCTAATATCTTCCTATTTTAAAAAAGCTTTGGTGTACAATTTTGTACACAAACTTTTAGAGCTTCAACTTGTTCCATCTTGGATACGCTTAAAAAGAGAAAATCTGCCTCAAATAGCATGCACATTACAAATTTTTGCATGTATTACTGTCTACCATACTTATTCCCTATGAACTTTAGACAGTTATACATTTTGTCAACCTTTCTAGTCAAAAAAAATAAAAGCCTCAAACTTCTTTTAAGGTAGTTGAGTTGATTATATATTTTACATCTATAAATTATCCATCCACTGCATCTTTTGTCTAGCTTTAACTGCTACTTATTAACTATTAAGTGTTAACTATGTTAACTAAAGCTGGTACTCACCTGCTGCAAACTGAGAATAAGGGTCTTAGCACACTGAATTTTGTCAATCTGCCTCGTTTTACTCATTGTTTCTTTGATTATATCTCCATAATCATTGTAATACTAGAAAAGAAATATGCATGAATTAAGCTTTATCTCTTAAAATTATTGACAATAAGAATAATTTTAGACTAGTCTTGTAAACATGTGACAAAGTATGTATTTGGCCAAAATTATACTTTTAAATCACAAAAACTTAAGGCCATTTTAAGTACATAATCTCTAAATTCAATAAATTAAAAAACACCTAATAAAGGAGGTGTGAAATAAGATAATAATTAGCTTATACACAGTTTCAGAAGAAAATATAAAAGATATAAAGTTCTTTTTATGAATTAGACAATAAATACTTTATAGCTTATTTGTTGCTAAAGATAATGTGGAAAATGGTCAAGTTATAACCTTATTAATTTGTAAATAGCAACCAAAAGACTACAAATAACATGCAAAAGAAAACTTATGTGTAAAATTCATATTATTTATTATACAAATATTTTCCTAAATTCATATAAAACTATCAGATCCAGAATGCCTAATGTGAGGTTTTAAAATTTGTTACATGATTTCATGACTTATTTTTTAAAATTACCAAGTTAAATGATATAAGTTCCAAAATAAGTTAATAGGGTTCTTTGGTGCAGCAAAATAATACAAATATAGGATTAACTTGTTTTGACATATTTTATTTCCTGAAAGCAAATGCTACATTCCTAGTTGGGTTTTCTGTTTTTTGAGAAAGAACTTTTAAAGAAATCTTACCAACTTTGGTCACAATGTTAGCTAATTTAATGTCCTTTCTATTACTACTTCAAAATTCCACAGTATCTCACAAACATTTATGAAATTATGAATAACCTATTGTGAATCACATAAGACTCAGAGAACTGAATGGAACCTTAACTATCCAAGTGGAACTGAAGAAAACAGGGAACAAAAGTTGTTGAGTGACTCAAGTTTATAAGCTGCATTGTAACAAAGTCTAAATGACCAGCTAGGTTTCTTAAAGTAACATCTGTTGTGCAACTCAGCCTGTTACCTTAGTCATAAATCCAAGTTCTGATGATTACAGGTAACCAAAGAAGTTTGTTTCGTGTGTGTGTGTGTGTGTGTGTGTGTGTGCACGCGTGTGTGTGTCAAAAAGCCAAAGAAGTTTGTTTCGTGTGTGTGTGTGTGTGTGTGTGTGTGCACGCGTGTGTGTGTCAAAAAGCCCAAACAGGTAACCAAAGAAGTTTGTTTCGTGTGTGTGTGTGTGTCAAAAAAGCCCAAACATCAAAATATCCACTGATTAGAGAAGTGGAGCTATGAGAAACATTTTAAAACAAATTTTATACTATAATGTTAATTTAGTATTTCCAAATCCCAGGGGTAACCAAGCACAGAATCCAACGTTTCTATTTCAGTTAAGCATTTAAGCACTATCCAGTTATAGGCTTCAATTTTACCTTCATATACTGCTTGAAGATATCTGCAGCTGTATTCATCTCCACCACAGTATATACAATTAGTTTACAAAATGCTGCGAGTAAATTTCTCCTCTTGTGCAAAGCTTCAATTTTACTGGCTTCATCCTCTTGCTGACCATCTGGAAAAAAAAGTTATAACCCTTAAGCTATCTTGCATTTTACTTCAAACATTTTTTAAAATTCACGTTTGCCTTTTAATTAGAGAATGTGAAAGGGAAAAAGACACTAACATTAAAACATTCTATTTATTTTAATAGACTACGTTTTCCAGACATTAAATAATAATCAAAACTGCTTCCTGGGTGACCACGGAAAAGGAATACATAGTAGAACAGAAATATAAGGAGTGAGTCAGAGGAAATAAGTCAGGTTTAGCTAAGTCAGGTTAAGTTTACCTGATATATTCTATTGCTTCCTCTACAGATGATTTGTCAGTGACATTTGTTGGTTAAGGATCCTTCTCATGAACTCATCTGAGGTATTTCCTTACTATTTCCAAGGATGATCTCACCTAACCTCACCTCCAAATCTTACACATATTTTATAGGTATTAAATGTTACGTTAGAATAGCTTATTTACAGTCTTAAGATAATTCCTTATTCCTGCTCTTATTCATGATGTAAGATGTAGACCATACAATTTCCTTTTCTTTTTTTGTCAATCCTGGGGCTTGAACTCAGGGCGTGGGCTCTGTCACTGAGCCTTTCTATGCTCAAGGCTAGCACTCTACCAACTAAGCCACAGCACCACTTCCCGCTTTTCATGTTTGTGGTACTGAGGAATTGAACCCAGGGCTTCATGCATGCTAGACAAGCACTCTACCATTAAGGCACATTCCCTGCCCCAACCACACAATTTTCAAGAGGATAGACATTTCTGATATGGAAATGTTTGTAATTATTTGATAATGTAAATGAAATTGTGCATTTTATGAAAAAGGTATAAAAGAATATCCTGTGGACAGATAATCACAAATTAAATTACTTACAAAAATACTGGCTCAATGGGATAAAACAGAATAGAGATGTAGTGGCACTTGTAAATAATCTCAGCACTCAGGACATAAAATGACGAAGATGGTACTCCTTCAAGAAGAGCCTAAGCTACATAAAACCCCATCTCAAAAAAAAGGGAAAAAATAGAGGGGGAGAAGAAAGGAGAAAGGAGAAAAAAACCCAGAAGAAGGGGGAGACAAAAACTCCAATATAATACCATTTATGTAAATGTTAGCAAAAAAGATAATTAAACCCAAATAAAATTTTTAAATATTGGACTGGGAAGGTAGCTCAGTGGTAGAGCTCTTGCCTTGCATGCCTGAGGCCCTGGGTTCGATTCCTCGGCACCACATAAGCAAAAAGAAAAAAGCCGAAGTGGCACTGTGGCTCAAGTGGTAGAGCGCTAGCCTTGAGCTGAGGGATAGTGCCCAGGCCCAGAGTTCAGGCCCCACGACCGGACCCAAAAAAAAAAAAATTTAAATATTATAATGCAAAAATGTGATAAACACCAAATTTAGGACGGCAATTACACTTAGGTAAAAGGAACAATAATGGGGGCTGGGAATGTGGCTTAGTGGTAGAGTGCTTGCCTAGAATGCACAAAGCCCTGGGTTCAATTCCCCAGTACCACATGAACAGGAAAAGCCAGAGGTGGAGCTGTGTCTCAGGTGGTAGAGTTCTAGCCTTGAGCAAAAGAAGCTCAGAGACAGTGTCCAGGCCCTGAGTTCAAGCCCCAGTACTGGCCAAAAATTTAAAAATAAACTAAAATTTAAAAAAAAAAAATAAAAAAAAAGGAACAATAATGGGTTTGTTTCTTTAAAAAATATCTGAAACTGGTGCAGCTAATTACAACAATTACTGACAAGAGGGCATGTACAAAAGTTATAATTTAGATATTCCCACCAGACTAGGATATATTTCATTTAAAAAGTGTAAGCAAGCCAGAGACACTGGCTTACACCTTAATCCTAGCTACTCAGTAGTGATCAAAAAGATAGCAGTTTGAGAGCAATCCAAGCAAAGGGTTATCAAGATCAAATTTCAAACCAATAAACTGTGTAGAGTGGCAAATGCCTATCATCCCAGGCATGATATGAGAAGGCATAAATAGGAGGATAAATTGTTACCTTCTTTCAAAGATGCAGACCAATTAGAAATTCTTCTACATGGCCTACATGTCTAATTATCAAATTGCATTGACAACTAGTTTTTAAATACCTTTTCCACTTGAGCTTAAATGTTGAGAAAAGAGATTGTGTCTCGATTTATCTGATCTATAGGATCTGGTATTCTGCCTGTTCACCATTAAGCATGTCAAAATTATTAGTAAAAATTAAGGTATTATTAAACCACAAGCTGAGAAAGTAAAGCAAAAAACAAAACACATAAGCTTTTATTACAGATTTTGACAATTGTTTTGGCTACTCAGGATTGTTCACTTCTGTTCTGGGTATCTTTTCACCAAATGATGAGAACAAAGTTCCTTATTGCTAAGATAGGCTACAAGCCATGTATAGAATTACGTTTATTTAGAAACTATATAGTGACATGTCATAGAATTCATATGCTGATGTTTTATTTTACTTGATGTATAATTTCAGATGAAAAACAAACCTATAACAACCCACTAAGAACTGCTTGTTTTCCCAAAATCTTATATTCAAGTAAGAAATCTGTGGATGGAATTAAGATGTGAAGAGAATGGGTAGTATGTTTTGACTATTGTTCTGTGAACATTTTGTATTATACTAGATTTTATAGGGCAGTTAACACATTTTTTTCTAACATTCAGAAATCAAACTGTTTAATATCCTCAAAATATAAAAATGTTTACACAAATATGCAACAAAAAACTAAAATATTTTATCCTATAGGGATTACCTCAGGGATGAGGGATTTGAATCAAGAACTGTGACAAGTCCAAGTGCTATTATAATCCAGTTTTACTTAATCTTCACAATAGCTACAAATTAGCAATACAGGACCAAAGTCAGTGAGAAACAGAGGTATCACTCAAACTCTATAGTCAGCTGGGTGCCAGTGGCTCACACCAGTAATCCTAGCTACTCAGGAATCTGAGATCTGAGGATGATGGTTCAAAGCCAGCCCAGGCAGAAAAGTCCATGAGACTTTTATCTGTAATGAACTACTCTGAAAAATCTGGAAATGATGTTGTGTGGTTCAATTGTAGAGTGCTAGCCTTGAGCAGAGAATCTCAGGGACAGGGCACAGGCACTAAGTTCAAGCCCCAGGACTGGAAAAACAAAAAAACCAAACCATCTATGTTCAACATCACACTGTACTTCCAATGTTACCAGAAAAGAAGACTAATGTATTAGAATGCATACTTGTTTTCATATTCTGAAAAGAAAATATATTGTAGCACAACACTGCACATTTTTACTTAATAGGATTTACAATGGACACAGAAACTTAAGAACATAATAAAATTACCTGCACTATTACTATCGTCATCTTGTTCAATGAAGACATGATCCAAAATAAAACTGAGCAACTCAGACTGCAATGAAGAATCAGGTGTGTAAACTAATGGCTCTAACATATCACGCCCTCCTGACATGATCTGATGGCTGAAGATCATCAACATATCACACAGAATAGTGAAGGCCTGTTTAAAAAAAGTAAATAATGTTGTAAGTTTTCTTATAAAACACCATCATGTTTTAAAAATACACATTAACACAGAAATAAAACCCAACTTCCTACATTAAAAAAAACTCGTACTATTTTCTAGAATTTTACTACCTACAAAGTAATTTCACAAATATTCTTTTTTAATTTTCAGCAATGTGAGGTTCCTTATACAGTATTTTAACACTGGTAGAGAATGTGTAATCAGGTCTTAATCATAGATTTTCTGACTCTAGTGCCTTATTCTGCACTGACTAAAAACGCCTCATAGTATTCATTTTCCAATAGCAAGTAATTTACAAATTTAGTATCTTTGTTCTATGGAACAAAATAATATATCATGAATATTTGAATACAAATAAAATGTCTGGTACTTTTAAGGTACTCTCATTCGCATGTGGCCTACGAGAAAACTAAGTAAGTATCACACAGCAGGTATTTCTTGTATTATTTAAATATTTTACGGTAGCTTCCATTTTATTAAGGTTGCTTACAAAAGCAATTACTAACCTGTTCTTTAACAGTAGTATTCACGTTGGTCAAGTAATGCTGACATATCTGACAAAACACTCTCATCTGTTTTTTTAAACGCAGTAAGTCCTCCTTGAAAAAATTTAACATTAACAATTTAAAATATTATATACACAACTGAATCAGCAATTAAGACATTTAAAATGACAGAATATACTGCCACATAGACAATTATATTAATTCTACTTGTATATTTGATTTAAATGTCTCCTTAATAATTAGGAGGAGGAAGAAAGCAAAAACATTTAATTTTTTTTTTTTTTACAAACCTCACCAAAACACAGCCTTATAAGTATCAGGTATTAAATAATTATATCCAAAGTGATCTGGTCCTTTAAAATATGGAAACATATAACTATAGATTGCTATCTTTACCAAAAAGCTACCAGATCAGAATGATTAAAGAGTAAACATATACACTACATGTTTACTTTACTATTTAAAAAATAACATCTTTCTTATTTTAAAAAAAGTTCTAATTTTTAAAAATTAGAGAAGTAAAAAAATCAAGTTTTATAGTAGTAACAGAACCTTTAAAATAGCTTTTAAATGTACATTAAAACACTGAATTTTATTTTCTAAATACCTACTCATTTGTTAAATATAAAATTATCTGTAAAGCTCAATCACATAAACCTACTTAAGCTACAAATTTTGGCCCAACTTTTGATACTACACACCAAATGAATGTTAGGATGATTATTATATACTAGAAGTTAAATAAAAGTAGGCCTGCCAGACACTGGTGGCTCACAACAGTAATCCTAACTATTCAGGAGGGTGTGATGTGACGATTGTGGTTCAAAGCCAGGTCAGGTAGGAAAGTCAACCAGACTAATCTCCAATTAGCCACTAAAAAACTGGAAGTATATGGGGCTGGGAAGGTGGCTCAATGGTAGAACGTTTGCCTTGCATGCATGAGGCCCTGGGTTCGATTCCCCAGCACCACATAATCAAAAAGAAAAAAAGCCAGAAGTGGCGCTGTGGCTCAAGTGGTAGAGCACTAGCCTTGAGCTGAAGAGCTGAGGGACAGCACCCTGGCCCAGAGTTCAGGCCCCACGACCGAACACCCCCCCCCAAAAAAAAGCTGGAAGTATAGTTGTGGTTCAAATAGTAGAGAGTGCTAGCTAGCCTTGAACACAAAAGCTCAGGGACAAAACCCAATTCCTGAGTTCAAGCCCTAGGAAGAGCACTGAATGAATGAATGAATGAATGAATGAACGAACGAAGTCCTAACATGGAGATCACACTTTGTGAAAGCTCAATCAAGCTACCAGATTTTTAAAAAAGTTCTACTAACCCCTTCCTCTTCTCAGAATATTACTTTTTTCTCATCTTTTTTTTTTTTTTTTTTTTTTTTTGCGGGGTAGGAGGGGATGGCTGTAGGGCTTGAACTCAGGTCCTGGGTATTATCTCTGAGCTCATTTGCTCAAGGCTAGCACTCTACCAATTTGAGCCGCAGTTTTACTTGCAGTTTTCTGGCAGCTAACTGAAAATAAGAATCTCATGGACTTTACTGCCATTTCTGGAGTTGAACCGCGATCCTCAGGTCTCAGCCTCCTGAGTACCTAGGATTACAGGCATGAGCCACTAACACTCAGCCCTTTTCCCATCTTAATTAACTTCTGACATAAGTAATTATGCATACTAACATGATCACTGTCCCTGCTATAAACCAGCTAATTAAGCTTCTAGGTATGTTAGACACAACTGTAATTCAAACACTAAGGAAGCAGCCAGCGTGGCTAAAAGGTGAGAATCCTGTCACCAAAAACCATTTTTCTTTAATATAAAGATGGCACACTACTATAATCCTAGTACTTAGCAAGGTAAGGTAAAAGGACAGTAAGTTCCCAGCCAAACTTAGCTACACAGATGTTTCATGTCAGATAACCTGAGCTACATAACAAGAGAAAACCAACTTTACAAATTTTTGCCCAAGTGTCTGACAAAAAGTACACTTTTTTGTGGGGTTTGGACACAGGGCCTCATTGTATGCTAAGCACTTTACTATTTGAGCCACACTACCAGCCCAAAAGTACAGTATTTTAACGATACTAGACTATTTTTCTCAAGAGGAAAAATCTAACTGGGGATATGAAACAAAGAAATTCTAAGCTTTATCATTATTCAATAAATTTATGTGATACAAGTATATTATATATTCCCTCTTGAAAATAGCTATGAACAATATTTTATGTCCAATAAATAAAATACAAAAAATGAGCCCAAATAATATGTAAAGCAATACCGTTACTGTGAGTACAATGTTTAAAAAGCTTCCAATTTTCAAACAGGAAAATAAGTCCTGGTTTAGATCAATTACTAAGTATATTAAAGATTATCATTATGGATAAAGTTTTAAAAGTTCTATCTCCTAGTCAAATTACAAGAGACATAAAGTAGTAATCAGGAAAACATAATCAGGAAGCCAGGTGTTGGCTATTCAGTAGACTTAGAACTTAGAAACCAGCCAGCCCAGGCAAGAAAATCCATGAGACTCATCTCCAATTAAATATCAAAAAGCCAGAAGTAAAGCTGTAGCTCAAGTGGTAGAGTGCTAGCCTTGAACCAAAAGCTCAGGGACAATGCCTAGGCCTCAGCTCAAGTCCCAGGACCAGAACAAAACAAATCAGGGCCTTTGATAATTTAAGAAAAATTTGCATAGTCCAACAGATTTATCTACTTGTTGGAAAAAATTTTTATCATGATTTACAAAATTCTATTTCTAAGTGACCAATTCTGAGACTTTTATCAGTTTCAGATGTAAATAACTTTAAGGAAAATACATTTTTGAACTTAAAGTAGCATATTTAATCAAAGGAAAATGCCATTAGTGCTCTTTTACAGAATATGTATCAAACTAGAAACTTGTTTTATGTACATGTGCATACATATTAGAATAGAAACAACCAAGACTTCATTGAAGAATGGTTTCATTAAAAGTATGTGCTTGCTGATATCAATGAATGATATTTAATGTAATAAAAAATGTTAAATTACCACACACCTTTGTAGAGCTGCTTTCAGTTATCTTCGCTAGCTGCCAAAGGATTACATAGTGAGTACACTGCAGTGCATGAATAACAATCTGTAATAACGAACCAAGAGAATAAAGGTAAATTTTAAGTCACAGGCCTTTACTCTCAAAGCTATATATGAAACACATAAATAAACAAACCTGCTCAGGCATATCTCCATTTTCAATTCCGGTTTTCAAGAGTTTGTAATTACAAGGAAACAAATCCCATTTTGAAAGATCATGAGCACTGCAAAAAAAAAACCCAGCTATGTTAAATAGTAATCATCATAATTTTGAACTTCAGTTTTAACAGAATGTTACCAAAGTAAATACAATAAGCATCTTAACATGCCACTACAAAAAATGACTTTTTTTAAAGATTATTACATTTTTCAGTCACTCTCCAATTCAAAATGACTCTACAAGTACTCTTCTGAAAATCTAAAAAGAAAACCTAGCAAAGAATTTGAAAACATTAGAAACTGCAAAATACACCTACTACAGTTTTAAGAAAGCAGGGGCTGGGAATGTGGCTCTGTGATAGAGTGCTTGCCTAGCATGCATGAAACCCTCTGTTCTACTCCTCAGTACCACATAATCAGAAAAAGCTGCAAGTGGCACTGTGGCTCAAGTGGTAGAGTGCTACCAGCCTTGAGCAGAAGATCAGGGACAGGGCTGGGAAGGTGGCTCAGTGGTAGAGCGCTTGCCTTGCATGCTGAGGTCCTGGGTTCGATTCCTCAGCACCACATAAGCAAAAACAGAAAAAAGCTGGAAGTGGCGCTGTGGCTTAAGTGGTAGAGCACTAGCCTTGAGCTGAAGAGCTGAGGGACAGCGCCCAGGCCCAGAGTTCAGGCCCCACAACTGGACCCCCCAAAAAAAACAACAAAAAAGAAGATCAGGGACAGTGCCTAGACCCTGAGTTCAAGCCCCAGGACTACTGGGGGGAAAAAAAGCAGAACCTAAAAGGTTCAACTTACTTGTGAAAAGCAGTGATCCTCTTCAATGTAGACAACACCTGATATGCATCATCTTCATCAGGTTCTTCACCCTATGAATATCAATTATATATTAAGAACCACCAACGTAAAAAATCCTATAGTAGTAACCTGGTAATAGTACCTTGAGAAATTAATAAAAATAAGCACAAATAATCTTATCATACAATGCCTAGATCTGGCTAAACCATCAGAGGTACAATGTGCCCCCGAAGAGAAAAATGAAACGATATTCTTCTCTTTGGTCTGAGAGGGGACTCAAACTGGAATTTGCTTTCTGGTCATTAGCAGGTGCTCTACCATCTGAGCCATGCCTCAACTCCCCTTTTCTATTAGAAAGACACAAACTATGAAGATATCTACATTTACACAGTAATAAATGTACTATGGCAACAAAAGAAAACATACCAGATTACAAGAAAGCAATCATAAAAGACAACATATAAAGGACAAAACTTAGATAAACTAATCATAGTACTCCTGGAAAAGATTTATCACACCAATCACAAACAAATGGGGTGAAAGCCTCTGAATAATATCTACAAATGCTAGTCTGTATGATGGACATCAATAATTGCTCACATGTTTTTCAATACAGGGTAACTTAAGCATAAAAAAATTCAGTCTTACTACATTTAAAATAAAATTGCTTAAATACTACTATATTTAATCTACTGTATTGAATTCCAGGTCTCTCAAAAAGGGTTTTTAAAGATTAATTTTCCTTCAAATGAATTAAACTTAATTAACAAACCATGGCTTCATACTAAATTAACTTGTCCTAATCACAATCATATTCAGCCAACAATGGAATTATTAAAAATTTTACCCAGAATGTGGAAGCTAATGATTGTGATGTGCACAATCACTAAATTAGTACAGGTTAACAAGCCTAGAATGTGACATAGCAACAGAATGTTAAATAACTTGATAAAACAAAAAAAATGAAAGTTTCAAAATCTATTATTTTTTTCTACATGATTTTTATGCCATGAGTAACAGCAGTTATATGGGAAAAGCTATAATCAATAATTTGAAAACTACAGCTTTTGATTTTTTTTTCTCTTTGGTGTCAGCCCTAGGGCTTGAACTAAGGGTCAGGGCTCTGTCCCTGAGCTTTTTGCTGAAGATTAGCACTCTACCACTTGAGCCACAGCTCCATTTCTGACTTTTGGGTGGTTAATTAAAGAAAAGAGCCTCAAGGACTTTCCTGCCTACTCTGGCTTTGAACCCTGACACTAAGATCTCAGCCTCTTGAGTAGCTACGATTACAAGCATGAGCCATCAGCAAACAGCCACAGCTTTTGATTTTAGTCTCATACATTAAAAGGTACAAAGGAGGGGCTAGGAATGTGGCTCAGTGGTAGAGTGCTTACCTTGCACGTATGAGGCCCTGGGTTCGATTCCTCAGCACCACATAAGCAGAAAAAGCTGGAAGTGGCACTGTGGCTCAAGTGGTAGAGCGCTAGCCTTGAGCTGAAGAACTGAGAGACAGCACCCAGGCCCAGAGCTCAGACCCCATGACCAACAAAAACAAACAAGAAAAAAAAGAGGTACAAAAAAGGGGGGGGTACAAAGGAGGTAAAGCCAGACCCAAAGAAACATAGTCTCCATGTTTTCCCTAATTTGTAGTGATTAGGATATGGCTAAGATAGTCTTAGCAGAGGTTTACAATAGCCCAATAGCTATGTACATATGGCCATATAAAATGATGCTAATCAAAATGATCTCCACGATATGAAAACAACATTTTTAAATGTACTGTTTGTAGTTATTTCTTTCATTTTCTTTTTTTTCCTCCTCTGGTTTATTCCCCATGGACACTCTTTCTGATTTTGGTACCCTTTGTCTTTATAAATTTAACTGACTTGGGGAAGGAAAGGGGAATCACAAAAACAGTGGAACAAAGGGAGAACCAATGCAATATTGATACTCACTAGACATGTTGGAAATGGACTTTACAACTTGAGGGGGAGGGGAATGGGGGAGGGAAGTGAAAGTAAACAAAGGAGGGATAACACTGTTTGAAATGTACTCATTACCTAACTTATGTAACTGTAACCCTTCTGTACATCACCTTTACAATAAAAGTAAATTTAAAAAAAAAGAAAAATTCAACAACAACAAAAAAGGAGCTAGATGCCAATGGCTCACATTTGTAATCCTAGCTACTCAGTGAGATCTCAGGATCACGGTTCAAAGTCAGCCTTGGGAAGAAAAGTTCTCAGGAGATTTATTTAATTAATTTATTTTTACTGTTAGATGAAAGTTTTTAAATCACTTCTTTCATTTTTTTCTTGTTTTCTTTATTGTCAAGGTGATGTACAGCCAGGTTACAGATTCTTATCTCTAATTAACCACTCAAAAACCAGAAGTGGATCTGTGGCACAAGTACTCTAGCCTTAAGCAAAAGAGCTCAGGGACAGCATCCAAGCCCTGAATTCACACTCCACAACTGACAAAAATAAGGTACAAAGGTATTTCCAGAAAAAAAACACAGTAAAAGTACAAGTTGAAGAAGATACAACAGAACCACAGAAAACTCCAAAACCAACATTGGCCATAGTAGCAACTTACTAAGACTACAGCACAGGGAACATGACAATGATGGCTTTTAGTTTTGAACACTGAAGAAACACCAATAAATCTCCTATTTGGTCTCATATTACCCCTACTTTTCTGTTCCATATACACTCTATTCCTGAATAGGCTAAAACCAGGAATCTGTTTAATTCACTTCTTTAAATCAAAGAAAAAAATCCTAGTTTTGCTTCCAACTCTCCAAGTCACAGATTCATACCAATTTTCCATTTTTTGGTCAAGGACTATTAGTACCTTGATGACTCACAGAATAAGAAATCTGAGCATAGTGGGGCACCAGTGGCTTATGCCTATAATCCTAGCTACTCAAGAAGCTAAGATCTGAGGATTGTGTCCTGAGGATCAATTCCCAGGGTCAGTATACACTATACAACACACACACACACACACACACACACACACACACACACACACACACACACACACACACACACACACACACACACACACACACACAGTGAGCATGATTTTAATATCTGCTAGACTACTACCAAGACTAATTAATGGAGGGAAAGGGCCCAACTGTCAAAATACTATAAAATATTACATACCTCTTGTAGAAAATCCTCAAGAAGACGGTTAAATTTATCTGCCAATTCATCAATCAGTTGACTCCTTGAAATATCTACTCGGTTGAAGATTGTGAACTCTTCATTACAGAGTGCTTGGTACGTTTTAGAACATGCTTCCAAAACATCTGTATCAGTGTGCTTCTCTACAATATTTCGAATCTGGCGCAGTAAGGCATCCAAATGCTGGAAAATAAAATACCTTTGAGTTAAAACCAAGGTGTACGGCTAGGGGTATATATAGATGCATTTAGCATGTATAATATGTATAGTATGTATATAGTACATACTTGAGATGTACGTGCAAGACCCACTAAGGTATACACAACAGATGTTAATTGACAGCATCAATAACAGTGAAAGTTTTGAAACATAATAACTTTATGATATAGCACATACATTTTTGCATATTTTGAGTGATGTTAAGTAAACAGACTGATCTGGTCATATTTATTTCCTCAACTTTAATGGGACTACTATTACCTAGGGCTTTGGTCCAAGCATTACATATAGTTTATAATAGTTCCTGTAATATATTGAAAGTGTTCAATGAATATTAGCTAGTTTTGCTTTTATGATTCTTTTACCCAGTTAGCCATGGAAAATCAACATAAATGAGCAGTGACAGAGTCACACAATGTCTAAGAATAAAGCTATGGATACAAAGCAAATGGGAAGTCTTAGCACTATATTCTTAAAATAGATGACTATTAAGATATAGGCTTCCTCTCATGCTACAAAAATATTTTTAAAATACAAACAAATGCTATGAGAGGGTAAATTAAAATTTTTCTTCAATGTTTTTTTTGAGGGGGGGAGTAAGTCATGGAGCTTGAACTCAGGATCTGGGCACTGTTCTTGAACATCTTTTTACTCTAGGCTCGCATTTTACCACTTTGAGCCACAGCTCAACTTCTGGTTCTCTGGTGTTTAATTGGTGATTAGAGTCTCATGGACTTTCCTGCCCAGGCTGGCTTCAAACCCCAATCCTCAGATCTCAGCCAACAGCACCCAGCTTCAAAGTTCTTTTGTACACAAAAAAAATCTTACCTTTTCTAATCTTCCAGTGGTATATATTTCCAAATCAAAATACTGAGGCAACTGCAACAAGTTAGTAACCTTTTCTGCATCTATAGAATACTTTGAAATAGAAGGATCACGAGAAACATGGTTATTGTAAGGAAGCATTTTGAAAAACATCTGTAATTTTTAGTTACACTATGTTACTAACACAAACTTACTTTTGCTAATAACTGAGGAAGAGCTACAGCAAAAAGTTCAGTGATTTTTGTCCTGTCATCCAACTGAGTCTTCTTCTCCTTCGCTGTGAGCACCTAAAGTAACAGGCTTACATTAACATTTATTAAACTTATTAAACATTATTAACTGCCAAGTTTTAGCTAACACAGCCACACAATAAGTAATAAAGTTGTATTTTAAATGCTAGATACAAAAAAGAATTTTCTTCAGAAAAGATCTTGATATGTCACCTAGGTTGGCTTTCAACTCGTATAACATTCTTGCTTCAGGTTCATGAGTACTGAAACTATAGGAATGAATGTACCACACAACCCAAAAATTCCTACTGTAAAACTTTAATCATAGAAGTGACAAACGTGAATATCTTACTTATATAAAAGAAAAAAGAACTAAAACTAAATGAATAGTCCTATAGGAAAAATTGAAATTCAATTAGATTAACCAACTTTACCTCTGAATAGAAGTATTTAAAAACTGTAAATTGTGGTTTTGGAACTGAAACATGAGATTAAGCAGGTTTTCAAGTTAATCTAGGCTATGGGAAATAAAACATGGCTTATAAATTCAAAGTAATTAAGTTGCTACCAGAAATTAGAAATGAAACAGGTTTAAAAAAATAGTAATAGGGGTATAGCTCATTGGCACAGCACTTGCCTAGAAATGGCACAATGCCCTGGTTTCAATATTGGACAATGCAAAAACTAAATAATTTAAAAAGAAACAGAACAAAATATACAGAATGAATCATATACTGTTTCAGTATCACATGATGAAAACTTGGTTCAGGTACACACAAATACATATATTTTGTGTACACTATACCACAATATGAAAAATGCATTCTAAGCCAGGCACTGGTGGTACACCTGTATTCCTAGCTACTAAGGAGGCTGAGATCTAAGGATCACGGTTCAAAGCCAGCCCAAAAAGGAAAGTCTGTGAGACTCTATCTCCAATAAACCACCAGAAAACTGGGAGTGGCGCTGTGGTTCAAGTGGTAGAGTGCTCGCCTTGAGCTGAAGAGCTGAGGGGCAGTGCCCAGGTCCGAGTTCAGGCTCCACGACCAACAACAACATCAAAAATGCATTCTATGCTTGATAACAAAGTTTGAAAGCCAGTGAAATTCTTGGAATACATTATAAATACTGTGCTATGACCGTGGGAAATAGGAATCCCCTCATTTCAATTAATATTTATTTCTACTTTTATATTAGAAAAAAATCAACAAACTAAATCACACACAAAAAAAATCATTCTAAACTGGCCCACTACATTCAGTCTTAAACAGACTGTTAGTGTGTTATCCCTCACAGAGTAACAAAGTACGCTATAGAACTAAAATTTCTCAAATTGTTAAATGCTTTAAGATTTACATCTAACACATGTGTATAATAAAAGTTTATCTGAAGAATAAAAATTAAAAATCATGTTTGTTCCATAATACGAATAGGATTTCTATAAAACATACTGGGAAAAGAAAAATGAAACTTTGAATATTGAAAAAACATTGGCATACCCTTTTTCCTGTCCCTCTTCCCACAGGAGGATGACATTCAGCTGCTTGTCTAATAGTACAAAGCATTATTTCAATCAGCGCACTCTCTTGTCTGTCTGTTAATGCTAAAAAAATTAAATCAGAGTTAATCTATTTTTCTTACCAGTAACTATTACATAATAGTTTCTTCTGCCTATGAATAGAAAGTGACCTAATGTACTACAGAATATTCCATTATTTATCACACAAAAGGTGAGAACAAGTTAAATCTTCCTAAACTCATCAGCAATCTGTGTCTAAAAGTGATCCTAGAGAGAAAACATTAAATTCTGACAGCAATTGTATCTTACTGCAGTATAATATCCACATAAATATACACATATATAAACACAAATATGAGAATAGAGCTGAAGGTAAGGCTCAGATGTAGAGTGCTCCTAGAATATGAGGCCTTGGGTATAATCCCCCGCAGAACACACACACACACACACACACACACACACACATAATCCCCCGCAGAACACACACACACACCAGAACACACACACACACACACACACACACACCTGCTCCTAGACTACATGAGGCCTTGGAGGTAAACCCCAGCAGAACACACACACACACACACACACACACACACACTCCTAGACTACATGAGGCCTTGGAGGTAATCCCCAGCAGAACACACTCACATGCACACATACACACACACACACACACACACACACACACCAAAAAAAAACTAGAGAAAACAAGTAAAATGTATTTTCAAAGTGTCTAGGTAAGACAACTACTACAATTAAATATCCTTAGGTAAGGCTCAGATGTAGAGTGCTCCTAGAATATATGAGACCTTGGGTGTAATCCCCAGCAGAACACACACACACACACACACACACACACACACACACACACACACACCTGCTCCTAGAATACATGAGGCCTTGGAGGTAATCCCCAGCAGAACACACTCACGTGTGCACACACACACAGACACACACACACACACACACACAAACTAGAGAAAACAAGTAAAATGTATTTTCAAAGTGTCTAGGTAAGACAACTACTAAAATTAAATATCCTTACCTTCCTCTCCACTAAGTGGCTCCTCTAGCAATAAGCTATTCATACATTCCCAGTCTTTTAGCAGCTCAGTAGCACAGTCCCACATGCTATCCACAAGATAGGCTGCATGCTCATGTAGCTAAAATTTGAAAAGAATAATATGGTCTTAAACAAATAGTAATTCAAGGGAACATAAGTTTTGGTGGCACCATGTACAAATACTCAAACAGCAATTCAAATGGAAGAAGGAATTGCCTTAATTTGCTATACATAATTCAAGCTTATTAGGCCTCATTGAACATTTTTAAGCTTTTAAAACATTTATACAAAAATTATTTTGGAAAATATAACATGCATACTTACTTATAAAAAGATTATATGCTTATTTAGAAAGCAGTTAGCTTCAGCCAATTCTTAGATATACTATTATTTGACTTTAAATGAATGGAAATAATAATGGTTAATTAAGATATAAAATACATCTTACTGTCAATTTGCTTCAGAAACAAATTATTCTCTTCATTCTGTTAAGCCTAGCAGACCTTATATCTTCCCAACTTAAGGGAGTATAATCATGATTTTTAAAACTTTTAGAAATTGTCTATCAGTGTTTTTCTATTCATGAGTATAGAGGGGATATCCCCATAATTATCAAACTGAATTCAGCAGTATATATAAAGGAATATATACAATTTTAGCATTGAAATGCAAGATGCTGCAATATTCCAATAAAATTATTCAATATAATTTCACTATGTCAGCTGAAAATTATTCCATATTTTGTTACTAAGAAAGTGAGGCTTCAAATGAGTAGGTAACTTAACCAAGGTTACAAAACTAGCAAGAAGGACCAATTGATAATCAGGTTTATCTGATTCCAAAAGTACATAGAATCCTAATATTTGAATATCTTATTACAACTAGTAATTATTCTTTAAAATTTTGGAATGGGGAAGATTTCTGTTCTATTCAAAAGTGACACCAGAGTATTTAACAAGCACTTCATTTTAATAACATCTCAGAAATTATTTGAAATAAAGTATAAATTAAGCAACATAAACTAACCTCACTTTCCAGAAAGAAAAAGACCAATGTCTTAACAAGATTGGCATTTGGACCTTGCCTTCCTCTTCTTTTCATCATCCCATCATCCTCTGGATCTCTACGACTGAAGAGCCTATGAACGAGGAAAAATATTTTAAAATGAAAACTGCATTTGTTATTAAAAAATTAATTCTATTACATATTAAAACATCTAACAAGGTATTAATAGAGAGCTTGGTAGATTAATTACCCAGAATTAAGCCATCAAGTAATTGCTATCATTTTTTTTATTCTAATCTTGATTGTTCATTAAATCCTTTGAAACTGATAAGCTAATTATATAGTATGCCTGCCTTCCGCAAGAATTTACTACATGTAGTTTTGACAAAGCTCAGTATACATTAAGCAACTCAGTTGATAAGGAAAGTCCTCAGATAGCCAGGTGGTGCTATGTCAGTTTTGTTTAATTAAACTCTATACTCTTGACTATTTATTGTTCCTCCACACACATACACACAGTCTCCTTGGAACCATGAACCCAAAGAGTCTACTTGCATTGTTATAAATTATTTTTTGATCTTATATAACTGTTTCCTTTATCAATCAAAGTAATACACTGACTTACCTATAATATTCATGAATAATTATATATATTTTTTATCTTATGACATATTTTTCTCTAAAACTGAACATACCAATACCTTCTGTATAAAATGCTTGCAACATTATCCACACCCAGTGGACTCTTCCTAGAGACAGTGTGACTGTTTTTCCTCAGAAACAAGAGAACTACCACTGGATAACAATAGAAATTTTAATAGAAAATTATAGAGTAGATATTTTGTACCAATAACTCTTTCAAATAAATCCCCACATGGGCATCTAAAAAAAACTAAAACAGAATCTGTGTGGTTCAAATGGTTCTTTGTAAAAGACATGATATAACATTTGTTGAATACTTTCTGTGATCAGATATTCACACCAAAGTTCATATTATCTAATCTGAAATGCTAAATAGCATCATAAAATCGAGGATTTGGGGGATTCTTAGGTCAAACTATATTAAGTACTTGAAATAGACTTTTAAATATTTTCTCAAGTAATGGGAAAATAAGCTTAACACTACATACTATAATATTTGGAAAATGAAGTAGACAATTAAGAAGAGGTAAGTCTAAATATTATGTTAGGTAAATTTAAAATATATCCATTAGGGGATGGAACATAGCTCAGTGGTAGAATGCTTGCTAGTATGGTGAACTCATGTCAGCATTTGTAAAAACCAAGCTAATTCCTTAAAAGACATGATATATTTCCCTTAAAAGATCTAACTTAAGCACAAAAAATATATATCCTTAAAAGGCAGAATATATTTGCCTTTAAAGATCTAACTTAAATCAAACAAACCAGAGAAGAGCAATCTAAACTTTTAAAGGAAAGAGTAAAGTGAAAGTATTCATAAAATGTGTGTATTATCCATGTTCTTTGCCTCACTATTCAAAATAGCCAAGATATGGAAACAGCCAGATACCCCACAATAGATGAGTAGAGGCAAAAATGGCATCTATACACAATGGAATTTTACACAGCCATTAGAAAGAATAAAATAATGTTATTTCCAAGAAAATAGATGGAACTAGAAAAAAATCATGTGAAGTGAGGTAAGCCAGGATAAGGTAAAAACATATATTTTGCTCTCTCTGATATGCACTGGGATATGACAAATGACATAGAATTTTAGATACTCACATACAGTGAGACCAAAAGAGGATAGTCTTAGGAAAGAATCACAAAGGTGCAATGCCTAAGCACCTCTTCATATTTACATAAAATAATATTTATACTGAAATGATCTCCTAAGATATGGAAACAAAAGATTTTTTTTCTTTTGCTTATGATTCTGTATTCATTACTTATATATGTTGTATATCATTGGGAGGGTGGCGGGGAGGTCACAGAACTCGAAGAAAAAGGATAAAAAGTGCAACAGTGGAGCGCATTGGGCATTGATGAAATTCAACTGTACAACTCATGGGTAGAGATGAGAGGGAGGGACTTGGAGAGAATGAGAACACAAGACACAGTACAAATGGAAATGTACTTATTACCTGACTCATGTACATGTAACCCCTCTGTACTTCACCTTTATAATAATAAAAATTTTAAAAAGTTGTGTGTTTAATATTTAGTATATCAAAATAATGTTATGAACATGTACTTTAGAAAATAAGTAACGGGGGGGGGAATAAAAAAAGGAAAGAAAATAAGTAACAAGGGGGATAAAAAAAAAAGAAAGAAAATAAGTAACAGAAATAACAGATTTACTTTTTGTAGAGAAACTCCCCAGCTGCTACTGCTACTGGCCGGTGAGCTGAATAAACCAGATGATAGACATTTTCACAATCTTCTGCAGTAAGAACTTCTTCACTACTCCTAGTAAAAAGTAAGTAGTAATAAGGTTTTTAGCTATATCCCAATTCTAAGAATATACATACAAAAATTCATGCTTTTACATTTTCCCAATTTACCAATTTGGGTTAAAAGAAAATAAATAAACCTAATTTATTATTTTGGGGAAAAGATGTGCTAACAAAAGTGCTGAGAATTTTATTAAGATCAAATATAAATGTAGCACCACATTTAAGAGCGAATACATGAAGTAAATAGGTAAGGGAATAATGTAATATAAATGCTTAAGGGGAAATAAAGACAAAACAAAAACTAATATGAGAGGGGCTGGGAAGGTGGCTCAGTGGTAGAGTGCTTGACTTGCATGCATGAGGCCCTGGGTTCGATTCCTCAGCCCCACATAAGCAGAAAAAAAATGCCGGTAGTGGTGCTGTGGCTCAAGTGGTAGAGCACTAGCCTTGAGATGAAGAGCTGAGGGACAGTGCCCAGGCCCAGAGTTCAGGCCCACGACCGGACCCCCCGCCCTAAAAAAAGCCCAACTAATATGAAATGTAAACTTGCAGCATGAAGAAAGCTTGGAGTTAATAATCATAGACATCATTCTGTATCCATTTCATATGAATATTAGGAAAGATGATCTGGGTGCTGGTGTCTCATGTCTATAATCCTAAGTACTTGGGAGGCAGAAATGGAGAGGATTGTGATTTGAGGCCAGCTTGGGTCAGCAGGTCAAGAGATCCCATCTCAAACAATAGCTGGGTGCAGTGGACTGTCATCCTAGCAATTCAGGAGGCTGAGATGAAGAGGATCATAGTTTCAATGTCAGCCAAAGCAAAACTTTTTAGGCCTCATTTCAAAGGAAAAGGCTGGGTGCTGGTGTATATCCATCATCCCAGCTACAGTATGACATGTAAATGGAAAGACCAACGTTCAGGCTGGCCCAGGCAAAAAGAGACCTTTACAAAATAACCAGAGCTTACTAGAGCTGGGGCTGAAGCATTAACAATGCCTGCCTAACAAGCAAGAAGCCTAGAGTTCAAATGCTAGTACCAGGCCCCCAGAAAGAAAAAAGACAAGTGTGACTACATTAAAATACACCCAGTGCCTAACTAACAGTTAAGAACATTTCATATATCATTCATATAAGTAAATAGTACTGTACTTCGTTTTTGTTATTTGCTCAACAAGACTTTGTACAAGATATCTGGGTGAAGATAAAATCTTCAAAGCATAAAAAAACACAAGTATTTTTCCAAATAAATATTAAGTATCAAAGACATATTTGTAACCATTGGAAAAAATCCTACTGAAGCTTAATGCTAATTTTCCTGATCTTTTTAAACAAAATAACCATAAGAAAATCTTGGTAAATCAAAGTTATTTTTAAAGTAGAGCTCATCAAGCAGTGTAAACTTTGAGTTCTTCCTATGGAATTATATTCAGGATGGTAGCCACTGGCAGCTGTTTTCATCTCAATATTCTTCTATTATGAAATAAATAATCTAGGAATTTACTATTATATATAAATTTACAATCAAAGGACTAACAGCAGACAGTAAAAAATAAGAACATATTTTGGTGCCAGTACTTGGCTTGAACTCAGGGCTCTGCAATCTCACTGGGCTTTTTTGCTCATGGCTGACAGTCTACCACATGAGTCATATCTCCACTTTGGTTTTTGGCTAGTTAATTGAAGATAACTGAGTCTCAGAGTTCTAATGATCCTCAGTTCTCAGCCTCCTGAGTAGCTAGTATTATAGACATAACCACCACACCCAGTCATATTTCAACTTTAATTCAATTAGAGTTTAATGAAACTGGACATAAATGCCTACAATTCCAGCATTCTAAAGAATAATAATGCAAGAGGATTGTGAATTTGAGGCCACCTTAGGCTACATAGTTAGACCCAGTCATAAATAATAAGTAAATCCTACGGGTTCTCAGAAAATGTCAACACATCTAAAATTGCCTTCTTTATAAATACTACACAGTGATATACTTCATACAAGATAATAACCAACCACTTTGTAGGGTTGCTGTATTCAGTTAAATAATATGTATGAAATACTTTTTATTGGCTGTCATCACATACGTTAATTTTTACTTTTAATAAACACTTATTGTTATTAATTATTTTAGAAATTCTATTTTAAAATATACTGTGTTAGCAAATGTGAACATTTTAGGTTTTGATAGACATTGCCAAATTTAGATCAATTTATTTTCCTTTCAACAATGTGTAAGGGACTATTTTTATACAGCCTAAGCAACATGATGTATTACCAAACATTTTTATTTATTCCCAGAGCAAATACGTTAAAAATGGTCTGATTTTAATATACTTGTCTCTGAGAACAAACTCAACTTTTGATATGTTTAATTTTTTCTTTTCAGTCAATGATCTGATCCATAACTTTTGACATTGCTTGTTAGATTTCTATTTCTTTAGTCAATATGCAAAAATTAATGTCTTTGATGCAAAAATTTACTCTAATCTGGCATTTTTGTATATGTATGTCATATAGACATTGAGTTTTTTATGAAGTCAACACACTGAGTTGTTATTTGTTTTTTTTTTCAAGACAAATCTAACCAGGAACTCTAATGTAATATGCAGCACATACTTACTGTAAAACAAGAGTGAGTAATTTTATTGCTTGTACAGCAACATCATATTCCTTGTCAAGAGTCATAGACACAATTCTATCCTATAAACAAAGAGATTCAAATATGTTTTAAAAAGGAAGAAAAATATTTTCAAATTCTAAGCAATTTTAAATATTTAGTACTAACCTTGAACCGACTTGTAAATAGCTCCAGTTTTGAATTAAGCTCTTTATTATAATAAAGCCCTTGTAGTGCAGTAAGACATTTGAGTCTTACCTCACCTTGCTAAAAGAAATGAAGAGAAAACATATTCAAACTCTGTGCATTCCCAACCTGAAAATTTCTAGTTTAAAATCTTAACCAATAACATTTCCTCAGAGATGTCATCTTTGATAGTGCAAAAATATAAATGATTATATACGTATGACGAAATACAAGGTTACTATCTCATACCCCAAATAATTTTTTTGTAAAATTTGTTCATAACAAAACTATTGTGAAAGTTGATAGTAGCATATTTCACAGAGAGCAACATAAAGAAAGAATGTATACATGAAACATGTTCAAAGTTAATGAAAAGGCAACTAAGAATGGTAATTTGAGGGAAAAAATTTAAAATGAAGTTGCAACATGTAATCTAAGGAACATGCTTTATCAAGAGGAGAAAAACGAGGTGCTGAGAATAAGGTTTCAGTGGTAGAGCACTTGCCTAGCATGTGCAAAGCCCTGGCTTTGATCCCTGTCACTGGAAAAAAATGAGGAAAAGTTTAGGTAGCATTCAGATAACAGCCTATAATGGTTCCATTTAGTCCTCTGAAAATGCATCACCAAAACTATCTGCACGATACCAGTATTGAAGCACAAATACTAAGTCAATACTCAGAATAAAGTCAGTGGTCAGAATATTTAAAAAAAAAATCTGGGGGACTTTACATTTTAGATTTCATGTTTTTTAAAAATTTGTTTGTTTTTTTGTTGGTCGTGGGGCCTGAACTCTGGGCCTGCGTGCTGTCCCTCAGCTCTTCAGCTCAACGCTAGCACTCTACCAATTGAGCCATAGCACTACTTCTGGCTTTTTCTGCTTATGAGGTGCTGAGGAATCGAACCCAGGGCATCATGCCTGCGAGTTAAGCACTCTACCACTGAGCCACATTCCCAGCCCAGGTTTCAAGTTTTCATAGAGCAGAGAGAATAAAGGAGAGAGGTTTATACAAGTTGTGGTATAAGGAATGTATGCATTTCATTTATGAATGAAAACTGCACACAGTCATGCCTATGTATAGACAGAGAAGCATGCTATATAGGGCACACTTTACCTTATCATGCATAGTCCAACCAACATATTTTAAATAACTGTCATTAAGAAAGGCATCACTATACATCTTCATCCAAATGCCAATCTCTTCAATGCATATAGCACGGATCTCAGCTATTGCATCCCTAGATGGATGAAGGAAAAATAATATCTAATCAGTTACAGTATGCTACAGGACATATGGTTTATTCAAGATATGCCAAGTACATCTTATCTACTATGGATACACCACAATTTTAAGTATCACTGCAAAATAAGGCATAATTGAAATATGCTATCTAAAGCCAGTAGCTTAAAATCTAGTTGCCAAAGCAGGGCTACCAACATAAATATTTAAAACTAAATATAACTAAACAAAAGCCCCATCCTTGCCTTTTACACTAGACCATAGCCTAGTCTTGGCTCACACCTGTTGGACTTAATGTGTTGTTGAGTAAACAGGTGATACACATTGAGCCCAAATGTATAACAAGTGAAACCAAGTTTAACAGAGTTATTAAATGATTTCAGCATTTGATTTTTTTGGAAACAGAATATCATAAAGTTTCCCACACTGGTCTTGAACATCTGGGCTCAAATGAGCCTGTAGCCCAAGGCTCCTAGTTGCTGAGATTAGAAATGCATATCAATGCATTGCTGTATCTAGCATAGGTAAAGGCTTTAAAATCCATCCTAAGGTACAGATGAATCATTAAAGGCAGAGGAATACCACAATAAAAGGATGTTTTAACAAAACTGCAATAATTCTACTAACAAAACTTCAATAATTCTATTTACAAAAACGATGTTTTGACTTACCTGTATCTATGTACAAACACTCCTTTAAATATTGCATTCATCATATTTTCAATTTCATCTTGATTTTCCTGAAGCTATAAAAAGAACAGATCATTAATTTTCATTAGACAAAGAACAGAAAAAAATCTCACAAAATGCAGATTGCTTCAATATATTGGTGATCACACTTTTTTCCCCAACAGACAAAAATAACCACAAGGAAAGGGTAAAGTTTAGATAGATGAAGTTCCTTAAAATATCTGACAACTTAAAAATTTAGATTGGGAAAGTAATTCTTTTTTTTTTCTTTTTTTGTGTGTGTGGGGGCGGGGAGGGTGGTCAGTGTAGGGCTTGAACTCCAGGACTGGGCAATGTCTCTGAGCTCTTCAGCTCAAGGTGAGTGCTCTACCACTTGAGCCACAACACTAATTCTGATTTTATGGTGGTTAATTGGAGAAGAGTTTCACAGACTTTCCTGCCCGGGGTGGCTTTGAACTATTATCCTCAGATCTCACAGCCTCCTGAATAGCTAAGATTACAGGCATGAGCCACTGGCTCAGGTTAATTCTTTTCTAATGAGCACAAAGTTCCAATATACAGAGAAACTATGGTTTATTATTACATTTATTATGTAATAGTATTAATTACAAAGCATTTATATGTTCATATCAAGAACATGTAACCATTTTTTAATTATTTTGATGTTTATAGTCTAAAAGAGAAGAATCATGTTTTGTGTCTGCTAAATGACCAAAACAGTAAAATAACTATGTAAAAAAAATATAGCTATTTATTGCCAGGCGCTGGTGGCTTATGCCTGTAATTGTAGCTCCTCAGGAGGCTGAGATTTAAGGATCTGGTTCAAAGCCAGCCCAGGCAGGAAAGTCCGTTAGACTCTTATCTCCAATTAACCACCAGAAAACTGGAAATGGTGCTGTGGCTCAAGTGGTAGAGCGCTTGCCTTGAGCTGAAAAGCCCAGGGATGGTGCCTAGGCCCAGAATTCAAGCCCTGTAACCAACCAAAAACAAATATATAGCTATTCACTAAATTCTGTTGAGAAAAGACTGACTTGAAGAAATATTTCAAATTAACAAAAAAATTCATTTACGTGTGTGTGTGTGTGCACGCGCACGCAGGCGCGCGCATGCCAGTCCTGTTTCTTGAACTCAGGAACTACGTGCTGATCTGAGCTCCTTTGCTCAAAGCTGGTATTCTACCCAATTAGCCAGAGCTACACTTCCAACTTTTTGAGGGATAGAGAGGTAGTTTACTGGAGATTAACTATGTTCCTGCCTGGGATGACTTAGAACTGTGAGCCTCAGATCTTAGCTTCCAGTATAACTGGGGTTACAGGAATGAGCCACCAGCACCTGGCTTCTGTTAACTCAAACTATCAATTAAAAGTGCATGTGAACTGGGTGTTGACTAGCTAGCTACTCAGGAGTCTAGAGATCTGAGGACCACATGGTTTGAAACCAGCCAGGGCAGACAAATCTAAGAGATTCTTATCTCCAATCAATCAACAAAAAGCCAGAAGTGGAGGTGTGACTCAAATGAAAGAGTACCAGTCTTTATCAAAAAGGCCAATTCAAAATACTAAACCTAAAAGAAAAAAAATAGGTTACAGAGTATTGTTTCTTTTTTACAATCTAAGGATAAATTAGCTCTTACTCTATGTGCTTTTTGCAAAATGTATCTCTTTTCTCTGCATAAATGTCCTGTACTTCTAAATAATGCTAACATAAGCATGCACTTTTTATATTCATTAATACAGTCAGTTATAGAATGTCCTTCAAAATGTTTAAAATCTTAACTTTTGCAAAGGAATGTTGCTCAATGACAGTGCACTTTCCTCACATATATGAGGCCCTAGTTCTATCCCAAGCACCACACAAAAAATAAAATGAAATGAATTGTAAGAATAAATGAAATAAATTATAAGAAGCTTACATTATTTGAATTATAAGAGGCTTAACTCAAATGTAGAAATACTAATATCATATAATTGTATAAAAATTTGGGGGCTGGGAAGTTGGCTCAGTGGTAGAGCGCTTGCCTTGCATGCCTGAGGCCCTGGGTTCGATTCCTCAGCACCACATAAGCAAAAAGAAAAAAGCCGGAAGTGGCGCTGTGACTCAAGTGGTAGAGCACTAGCCTTGAGCTGAAGAGCTGAGGGACAGTGCCCAGGCCCAGAGTTCAGGCCCCACAACCGGACACCCCCCCCCAAAAAAAATTTCCATGTCAAAGTCCTCTTAATTTTTTCCATATATTCTATGTTAACTGTCTAGGAATAAGGTAATAATTTCAAGAACTAAGACATGCTTTACATTACCAGTAAAATTCATTCATTAAGAGACTGAGGTGTATCAACACGCTAAGTTATATGAAAATGAGTTTCAAGGCTAGGTACTGGTAGCTCACACCTGTAATCCTAACTACTGAGAACTCTGAAACCTAGAGATTATGGTTTGAAGCCACCAGATAGGAAAGTCCATGAGATTCTTATCTCCAAAAAGCCAGAAGTGGGGGGGGGAGGCTGGGAAGGGATGTGAAAGGTAAACAAAGAGGAGGCTGCAATGCTTGATAAGAAATGTACGTATTATCCTGCCCATGTAATTGTAATCCCTCTGTACAGTATGTTCACAAAAAAAAATTAAATTAAAAAAAAAGCCAGAAATGGGGCTGTGGCTCAAGAGGGAAAGCACTAGCCTTGAGCACCAAAGCTCAGTACAGAGCCAAGTCCCTGAGATTCAAGCCCAGCAATGGCATGAGAAAAAAAGAGAGAGGGGGGAGGGAAAGACAGAGGGAGGGAGAGAGTGAGAGAGAGGGAGGAGAGAGGAGAGAGGGAGGGAGAGAAAGAGGGAGAGAGAGGGAAAGAGAGGGAGAAAGGAGAGAGGAAGAGATACTTTACATGAATAAAAATACTTTACATGAATAATACTTTATATGAATAATACTAAGGCTGGGACAACTTTCCAGACTGTCCCAAGTATTTTTACTTAATAAAATGCAATTTCTTAGAATATATAAGAGGTAGTGTTGACAGATATTCAAAAAACTTCAAGTTAGACAAATAAACTACTTGAAATGTACTATTTGAGATTATTTTTTAATTTTCATTGTAATTATTAAGGAGTTGTACAAAGGAGTTACAATTCCATAAGTCAGTAATGAGTACAATGCTTCTTAGACAGTGTCACACCTTCTTCATTTTCCTCCATATTCCCCTTCCTGTTCCTACACATAAGTTGCATAGTTCATTTTTTTACATAATGTACAGTAAATACTATGATTGCATTTGTTCACCCTTTTTAGCTCCATTCCTATGTGCCTCCTTTTGCCCTCCCCTAAACAGACAAAAAAAAAAAGAACAAAACAAGCAACAAATAAAAACATGTTTCCATTTCCTGGAATTTGTTTTGGTTTGAAGTATTTTAGATGTTATGAGGAATTATGCCTTTGGGTTCTTCCTCTAAGTATATCTTCCCTTAGTCTGTTTGTGTGTAAATGCATAGAGCCCTGTATAAATTGTCATGTCCAACTGTATTTTAGATCTAGCTTCCACATCTGAAAGAAAACGTGCTATTTGTCTCTCTGAACTTGTCTTACCCCATTTAACATTTGTTCTGGGTCCATTCCGTTCCCTGCAAACATATTCTTTCTAATGGATGAGAAGTTTTTCATTCTGTATATGTACTGTGTGTCTGACCACTTATCTTTTTTTTGTGGCTATTGTTTTGTGTTTTTTGGGGTTTTTTGGTTAGTCATGGGGCTCGAACTCTGGGCCTGGGCACTGTCCCTGGGCTTTTCAGCTCATGGCAAGCACTCTACCACTTGAGCCACAGCACCACTTCTGGTTTTCTGGTGGTTAATTGGAGATAAGAGTCTCACAGACTTTCCTGCCCGGGCTGGCTTTGAACCGCGATCCTAGGATCTCAGCCTCCTGAGTACCTAGGGTGACAAGCGTGAGCCACCAGTGCCCAGTTCCACTTGCTAGGCTGACTCAGCCTAGCAAGCCACATTTCAAGCCCTTAAAATTAAATTTTTCATGAGACTGTGGCAAAACACATGCTTGTTGCCCATAAGGCCCTAAACCGAATTCCTAGTACCAAAAACAAAAAAGATTTTTTGAATAAAATTATCTGAAGCATTAACAAGTTATAGTTGATGATAAACAAGATACACATTAATAGCCTAAATAGGTTATATAAAAATTTACCTCTTTCCGTTTTTGTAGCAGGAGTTCTAGCCTCTCATTGGCTCGTTTTCCAATCATTTTATTCCGTTCTGCTTCATATTGTCTTTGTGTATTATCCATATTAATGCTAAGATTTAGTGCCACATTCACCAAAGCTGTCATCAGCTTCATAGCTATTTTTAAAAGGGTAAAATGTTGAAATTAGCCTAATAGATGCAAATTTTTACAACTTAAGATCAACTTAAGTGAAATTAAGCAGAGAGGAGCTACTCTGCTTCTAACAGAAAAGAGGAGCTCCAGTGGCACAGTACTTATAAGACAGAAAAAAGTACAGCTGCTACAAATGATGTCAACAACAGATCATACTATATAGAATACTTAGTATGTCAGCAAATTGCCTATGCCAAATACTTTTGTGCATTATCTTACAATCTTCCCAACAGTCCTCACAGGTAAGGGCAGAGGAAATTGAAGGAAATTTGCCCCACATTGTAAGTTCACACCCACCCACATCTACACCTACCCCTACCCCTACACACGCACACACACACAAACATGTAGTTAAACCAAGATAAAAGCAATAAAAACTGACTCCGTCCAGAATATGATTAAATCATAGTATTGTTAATAATGTCCCCTACAACAACCTAACTCAAGTGATCATGATTCATATGAAAGTCATTTAGCTAAGACCTTAGTATGTAGCTCAGTAGTGTGGCATTTGCCAATCATGTGAGGCCCAGGATTCAAAATCCAAGGCACTTAAAAAAGTTATTCAGCTACCTCAGTAACCAAAGAGGATCTAAATGAATTATATCAAATCACATGGTATAAACAATGTTGAAGGGTTTTATCAGCATTAACTTATGTTTCACTTTACTGCATATCATAAAGATAATGATGAAATTGTAAAGAATCTAAATTCAAAAGTATAAACAGTGGGGGCTGGGAAGGTGGCTCAGCGGTAGAGTGCTTACCTTGCATGTATGAGGCCCTTAGTTCGATTCCTCAGCACCACATAAATGGGAAAGGCCGGAAGTGGCGCTGTGGCTCAAGTGGTAGAGTGCTTAGCCTTGAGCTGAAGAGCTCAAGGATAGCGCTAGGCCCAGAGTTCAAGCCCCACAACTGACCAAAAAAAAAAAATCCCAAAGCCAGCCTGGGCAGAAAAGTTAAAAAAAAAAGTATAAACAGGGAAATGCCACTTAAATATAATTTTATTATTTTTGGTTTACATGATACTGAGGAATCACACACAGGGCCTTACACATGCTAGGCAAGCACTCTAACACTAAGCCACATTCCCAGCCCAAAATGTCATTTAATAAAGTGCTTTCCCGTATAAAGATTTTTCCCTATACTATTCTTTTAAATCTTGAGACAGTAACCTCTTCTGTCTGGGATTTTTAATTTAAGAATTTATGTGTTATTTATTTAGTATACTCCAGACCATTTCTCACACTTGGTTGCATTGTATGATACAACAAGTCAAACTCCATCTTCATTTGTGGTTACTGGCTTTCTGAGGAAGTTTCCAATTTTCTCCTCTAAGTAATTTCAAATATTCAGCAAACTAGTGTGTCACTCAGATCTAAAATTATTTGTCATACTTGTTTTAATTTACACTAGCCATCAAATTTTTGATGTTGGACTTAATCATGTCAAGTACGACCACATTGATATTTTGTGTATTCAGCTCCAAAAACAAAAAGAGAACCTATAATAAACTGCATTTTACTTTTACTAATGAATTTTTCAGAAGTATATGATGAATCATAGCTTTAATTCTTTTTTTTTCTTTTGTCGGTCATAGGGCTTGAACTCTGGGCCTGAGCACTGTCCCTCAGCTCTTCAGCTCAAGGCTAGTGCTCTACCACTTGAGCTACAGCTCCACATCCGGTTTTCTGGTGGTTTATTGGCGATAAGAGTTTCACGGACTTTGCTGCCCGGGCTGGCTTTGAACCACGTTCCTCAGATCTCAGCCTCCTGAGTAGCTAGGATTACAGGCGTGAGCCACTGGTGCCCGGCTATAGCTTTAATTCTTTGAGGAGATATTCTACCAAAAATTTTAAAAAGTTCCTCAGAGGAAAGTTTTAAAGACAGAAATTAAAACTGACATTAAAGCTTAGAACATTATAACAAAGTCTATCTGATTTATTCAAACTGAAATCAAAAATATATATGCAGTAACAGCCTATCAGCAATTTTTATCTTCAGCACAAACTTAAATTTCAGATGTATGAAACAAAAAAAGCACTGCTATAATATTAACCATGTGAGGTGTGAAAATGTAATTCAAGTCACCAAAATTTAAAGATGAAAGACTGACCTGACCTAAAGTTACTATTGTCCAATGTAAGTTGAAGAATTAGCCTTGTCCAACTGGTTGCCATCCTATCTGGAGGGGACTAAATATCAAAATGATGGCAACAGTCAACCCAAATTTGCCATCAATTTTCCTTGATAAAACATCATTCAAGCCAAGCATCAGTGGCTCATAGTAATTCCTGTGGCTTGTAGGCAGGGAGGAATCACCACATTCTAGTTTGAGTATACCTTCACAAAGAATTAAAACAGAAAATACTAGGTGGATATTGTGATGCATGACAATAATACCAGCACTCAAGAGGCTTAGGCAGCCTGGGCCTTATAGTAAGTTTGAAGCTATTTTGGACTACACTTGTGAACCCTATCTCAGAAACAAACAAAACTCATAAGAAATAAAACTAAGCTCTGAAACTACCAATTTATTCTCAATATTGCACAAAAAGAAGAATGGAGGGAGTGTTCTCTTAGTGATCACTTTAGAAGTTAAGCTAATTAATGCCACTATTATTTCATTTCCCTTTTAATGAGAATCATTTCCTCTCTAACCTAAGGCAATAGAGAAAATCATTCAAAATACTAACCTGCCAGGGTACTTGTATGCCGAAATGCTCTGACTTGTGAGTCAGATAATCCTGTAAGAAGTGAAATGACTGTATCCATCATGTACTCATCATATATGATACTATACTGACATTGCCGTACTAGTACACCAATGAATTCACAAAAACTCGATTTGAACTTCTTCCACTGAGGACCAGCCATGGTAAGTGGATAATCGCCACTATCCTAAAACACAAATTTTAAACAGAAATTTAATTTAAAATTCATAAGATTTTTAATTGCTTTTTAAACATCCTAAACAGAAGTATAAAAAAATTCCTTTATCTTATCCTTCCTCTATAATAAACTCTCAAGGCAAGCAAGAGACTAGGTGCAAATGTGGAAGTACCTCTGGACAATTCTGCTCATTTGAAATCAGTCAATGAAATTGTCAATTATTGATATTAAAAATTTTTAAGTCTTCATCAAAGTGAAATATTCTTCTGATGAACATAAATATATTTATACAGTAATTAAATTTCTTTAAAACAAGCAAACAAAACCTAAACCAAATAAATGTTTTTGAGTGGATTCAAAATAACAAAATCATATTCCATGCTTGTTTAACAAAATGATGTATGCATCAACAAAAGTTTGCAGTATATGTCATAAACTTCATGAAAACAAATAGTAATCAAACATAAATGGCCACATAATTTTAAAAAAGGCTAGGAATATAGCTTAATGGTAGAGTAGATACTCAGTTCAAGGACCTTTGGTGAAGGGTAAGAATTATAGCTCAGTGGTAAGAATAGACACTAAGTACTGCTCATTCTCCACAAAATAAATGGAAGGAATAAACAGACAAATTCTCCACAAAATAAATGGAAGGATAAACAGACAGATGGATGGACGGATAAATGGATGGGTGGATAGATAGGTAGGTGAATGAATGCTTAAAAACATAACATAAGGAACAATTATAGAGAAAAGTGGGGATCATTAATAAATATAACTCAGAGCTATAAGGTAATTATCAGTACAATATAGTCAGTTTCAACGATTAACTTTCATCACTAAATTTTTACTTCATGTCATATATACACTGAATTGTGTCTGAGACCAAATTCCTAACATACTCTTAAAAGTGTTTTTTTCATTTGGTTGAGGAGAGGGATTGGTCTTGGGACCAAATTTGTAGCCCAGAGCATGCTAAGCACACATTCTATTGCTTTGTTACACCTCCAGCCTCTACATTCTCTGATGAGCTCATTTAGTGAACAGACTAAAATATGTTATTATTGTTAACTTCATTTGTTGAAATTTTCAAATTATATTTCAGGATGATTATCTTAAATACTTCCTTTTAGCAAAAAGTTCTCACTTAAACAGTTAATATTAAAAGGTTAAAACATGTAATTACTCATAATTACCTCTTCTCTACTCAGAGACTGATTAATATCCCTTAGTGATTAACAAAACCATTTTAACAACTCATCTATCTTTTAGAATCATAGCTGGAAGCTTATTCATTTAAAAGAACAGGAAAAAAATGACCAAATAAAACAAATGAGATCAGAGATTCTACTTAAAAATGTAAAAGTTTTGAAACTACAAAACCACTGGTGCTATAGACAGATGTAAAAAAAACAAATTCCTTCCCTGAAGGAACTTTCATTCTAGTCAATCTACAAGTGTATTTATTGGTTATAATACTTACAGATATTATAGTGATGATAAACTTGTTTCCTATTTATTTTTATTATGTTCTCAGTTAAGTCATAAAGGAATTTTTAAATAATATATACATTCTTTTGTCTACACTTTCTTCAAAGATTGACTATCTTCTTTATACAGTATTTGAGAACATATTCCTATGTTCTGAATTGTTTTCCTCACTAAAGTTTTTACTTTCAAAATCACCCTATTATCCAGGCACTGTTGGCTCATATCTGTAATCCTAGCTACTCAGGAAGCTGAGACCTGAGGGTCTTGGTTCAAAGCCAGCCCAGGCAGGAAAGTCCCTATCTTTGATAAACCACAAAACTGGAAGAATATCTCAGGAACTGCACCCAGGCCCTGAGTTCAAGCCTAACAACCAACAACAAAAAGAAATCACAATTTTACCATTTTTTTTAAATTTTTTGTCAGTCCTGAGACTTAAACTCTTGGGCCTGGGCACTGTCCCTCAGCTCTTCAGCTCAAGGCTAGTGCTCTACCACTTGAGCCACAGTGCCACTTCCAACTCTTTTCTGTTTATGCGGTGCTGAGGAATCAAACCCAAGGCCTCATGCATGCAAGGCAAGCATTCTACCACTGAGCTACTTTCCCAACCCCAATTTTACCATTTTTAAAGCTCTTGCTAAAAATAAATAAATAATAAAGTTCTTGCTACATAGAATCATAAAATGCTAAGCAATATTTAGTCATTACTATTAGTCAATTACTATTAATCATTACTATTAATCATTACTATTAATCATTATTATGAATCAATTCTATTTCCACAGCTGCCTCATAGAAAAAATTTACAGATGAAACTAATGATAAGACAACTTGACCAAGATTATACAGCTATCATTTTATTAGGGTTATAGCTCATATCTACATTAATACTTCAAAATAATTAATTCAAGTTCTATGTGTATAAAATTAATAAAACATTTCGGATAAGATGTTACCTCATCAAATTCTTCAGTCATTTTTCGAATTATCTCAGAGTTCTGCATATGTCTAAACATTTCAGCTGTGACAACTCCTGAAAATTCCAAGTGTCAGAAGTTAATACATGGTGTAATGAAACAATGAATTTCTAAGTCAGTCTCTACCAATAAGTCTACAGTTACAAACAAAAGAAAGCGTATTCATTTCATATTTGGCAGGATACAACAACCCATAATTAAGGCATGAACAAATACCACTGTCAACATGAAACAAGGAAACAACATGACACTTGAGACAGGTACTTTTCTTAGCACAATCAGCTTTGGCCATTTCTACATGTTTTACTTTACTCATGCCATAATGTGTATATAACGGTCCCTTTGGTATCCATGGGGAAAAGATCTCTGGCTAAGAGTTCACTACTAACCAGTACCTCTGTGCAAATCAACTTTATCCTTAGATCCTCTAAACAGGTTGCAAATGAGTTTAATTAGTAAGCTATAAGTCCACTCATCCAGCAACCTGTAACAGAGTTGAAGTGCATTACATGTTAAAAAAAAGAAAAAAGAACAGCCGGGCACCAGTGGCTCACGTCTGTAATCCTAGCTACTCAGGAGGCTAAGATCTGAGGATTGTGGCTCAAAGCCAGCCTAGGCAGGAAAGTGCCTGAGACTCTTATCTCCAATTAACCACCAGAAAACCAGAAGTGGTGCTGTGGCTCAAGTGGTAGAGCACTAGCCTTGAGCTGAAAAGCTCAGGAACAGCACACTGCCCAGAGTTCAAGACCCATGACTGACCACCAAAAAAAAAAAAAAAAGAGCTCTTTGAAACTCCACGTTTTTAAAATTTATTTTCCCTTTATCCTCCTTTGTAACCTCATGATTCCTCAATCAGTGGAAGTTTATGTACATCTCTTGTATGAGCTCCTAAGATAACTCTTCTCTATAAATCCCTTTTCTGATATTTGATCTTTACAATACTAAATTTTATTACTTCCAGTGTATATTCTTCTCTAGTCATTTATGATTCTGATTTTTCCATTTTCATATTATTTTTCTATGAAACATCTTTTTTTCAAAAACAAAGCAAAAAAGTTTTTTTTTTTTTGGGGGGGGGTCTGGTCATGGGGCTTGAACTCTGGGCCTGGGCGCTGTCCCTCAGCTCTTCAGCTCAAGGCTAGTGCTCTACCACTTGAGCCACAGTGCTACTTTCTGCTTTTTTTCTTTTTGCTTATGTGGTGCTGAAGAACCGAACTCAGGGCCTCAGGCATGCAAGGCAAGCATTCTACCACTGAGCCACCTTCCCAACCCCAGCAAAAAAGTTTTAACTCTTTTTATTTTCAGTCGTGGGGCTTGAACTTAGGGTCTGGGCACTGTCCCTGAGCCTTCTTTTGCTCAAGTCTAGCAAGCACTCTACCACTTGAGCCACAGCACCACGTCAGACCTTTTCTGGTATGTGGTACTGAGGAATGGAACCCGGGACTTCATGCATGCTAGGCAAGCACTCTACCACTAAGCCACATTCGCAGCCCCAGTTTTAATTCTTTTAAGTTACAGTGTCATTCTTCTTTGTCCAATCTTAGAATTTTTTGACAGTAACTTTTATCAGGGAATTTATTATGTACCATTGTAAAAGTTTATTTGCTTTTCTTTTTTTGTTCTTTTGTTGTTTGTAGGGCTTGAACTCAGCCTGGGCGCTGTCCCTGAGCTCTTAGGTTCAAAGTTAGTGCTCCGCCACTTTGAGCCACAGTTTTCTGGTTTTCTGGTGGTTAATTGGAGATAAGAGTCTCAATGGACTTTCTTGCCTGGGCTAGCTTTGAATTGAGAGCCTCAGATCTCAGCCTCCTGAGTAGCTAGGATTACAGGAGAGAGCCACTGGCGCCTGGCTTCAAAGGCCCTATTTTTATTGCAACAATATTTACTTGATTAACCAGAACACTTATCAAAAATATGGTAATAAAAATTCTCAAAAGATTTTTTTTTAAAAATCCTCAAAAGAGTCTCTTAAAATTAGGTTTATTAAAATTTCTAAATATAATTAACAGATTCTCAGATAACCAAGGATGTGTTTTATATTTATGTCTATTTTTATTTATACATATTTTGCTTATATATTTTTAGGTATGAAAAACAAAGACATTAAGAAAATTTACATAATTTGTTTCACATTATTCACCTACATCATGTTGCTTCTGTGAATGAAGTCAATTTCGAGGGGTGTCCTGGCATATATCACAATCGTAACCAAATTATTCTTTTCAAGTATACACATATATTGTTAAATTTAGAATAAAGCAGAATTTCTTTGGCTAAATCCTCTTTAAAAAACATTTTGGCAGGTTGTTTTTTCATCTAGAATTGTGTATATCAATCTAGTCAAAACCTTCCCCTATTTTTTTTTTTTGGGTCCGGTCGTGGGGCCTGAACTCTGGGCCTGGGTGCTGTCCCTCAAGCTCTTCAGCTCAAGGCTAGCACTCTACCACTTGAACCACAGTGTCAATTCCGGCTTTTTTCTTTTTGCTTATGTGGTGCTGAGGAATCGAACCCAGGGCCTCATGCATGCAAGGCAAGGGCTCTACCCCTGAGCCATCTTCCCAGCCCCTATACTCAGGTTTTTTATACTTGGCAATGCAAAGGAAGTATAAGCAATTTAATAACTAAAATAATTTCTAAAAGTAAATATTTACATATGAATAAATCTTTGGGGTTTTTGTTTGTTTTTGTTGGTCATAGGGCTTGAACTCTGGGCCTGGGCTCTGTTCCCAAGCTCTTCAGTTCAAGGCAAGAGCTCTACCACTTGAGCTACCGTGCCACTTCTGGTTTTCTGGTGGCTAACTGGATGTAAGAGTCTCATGGACTTTCCTTGCCAGGGCTGGCTTTGAGTAAGGATCCTCAGATCTCAACCTCCTAAGTAGCTAGGACCACAGGCGTTTGCCACAGGCACACAGCATGAATTAATCTTAAAGAAAACACTGAATACACTTTGGCAAATAGCCCATCCTCCTATTTACAAGCCTTATTGGATTGCTAGAAACCCAAAAATAAACAAAAAATGACCTAAGAGTAGAAAAAACTGTTGCCACAAGATCTATCCATTTAATACTAAAGCAGGTGTAATCCCACCATTAGAACAGAACATCAGGCCACAGCCTTAAAAAATCTGGGGGAAATGAAGCAACATTATTTAAAAAAAAAAACAAACTGTTAAATAGCCAAGCCCGTAGATCACACCTGTAATCCTAGCTACTCAGGAGGCTGTGATCTGAGGATCTTAATTTGAAGCCAAAGCAGGCAGGAAAAGCTGTGAGACTCTTATCTCCAATAAACTATTCAGTGCTGTGGCTCAAAGTGGTAGGGCACTAGCCTTGAGTAAGAGAAGCTGAGGGACAGCACCACACTCTGAATTCAAGCCCCAGAACTGCGGAAAAAGCAAAACAAAACAAAAAATCTGATAAACTGAAAAGCCAGAAAAAAAAATTAAAACACCAGCCACAGAATAATCAACAACAGAGCAATCTGAAGGCACTCAGTGTAAGGCCAATAATCCCCTTCCTGCCTTAACAGGTGTAGAAAGCAGTGTATTGTAATAATAAACTGATAACTCTAGTTGGGCTTAAGTGGTAGAGTGCTAGTCTTGAGAGAGAGAAGAAAAAAAAAAAGCTCAGGGACAGCCCAAGCTTTTAGGTCAAGCCCAGGACCAACCAACCCCCTAACACACACACAGACACACACACACAGACACACACACAGACACACGCGCACGCACGCACGCACGCACACACACTGATATTCCCAACTATCTTGAATCCAACAGAAAAAGATCAAAGTAATGAGTATACTTGAAATTCTATCGAAATAATATGTGTAAATTTACTTACTAATGTTTAACTCTGATTATATGACAAATTTCATTTTATAGAGATGGCTGAGTTCTAAAGAAATATCAGTGTTCAAATCTACCTGGTAATTTAACTTTTTTTTTTTTGGTTCCGGTTGTAGGGCCTGAACTCTAGGCCTGGGCGCTGTCCCTCAGCTCTTCAGCTCAAGGCTAGCGCTCTACCACTTGAGCCACAGCGCCACTTCCGGCTTTTTTGTCTTTTTGCTTATGTGGTGCTGAGGAATCGAACCCAGGGCCTCAGGCATGCAAGACAAGCACTCTACCACTGAGCCACCTTCCTAGCTCCGGTAATTTAACTTTTAAACCACCTTAAATTGTGAGAAATCTTGACAGCCTCCACATAGCCAAGTTGTGTTAGAAAGTTCTTTATTTGTAAACTGAACCCTAACAAAGGATGACTATGATAAAGGGAAAATGCTCTATGGCCTTGTTTTGAAACTACAATTCAGAAGTCTTAACTCCTCAAACTAGACCTACATTTTATTATAGCTGAATCAAGTAAACTAGGCAGCTCTCTGTACTATATGAATAGCTTTAAATTCTTCTAAAATTTGTAGTGGTGCACGTCTGTTATACCAGTTAATTGAAAGGTTGAATAGGAGGATTGCTTGGGCCCAGGAGTACAAGAACAGCCTGGCAACATAGTTAGACCCTGAGCACAAAATAATTTTTTTCCTATCCAACTGCCATTTACATTAAAATCCAATACCCCACCAATAACTGGTGGCTCATGCCTGTAATCCTAGCTATTCAGGAGGCTGAGATCTCAGATCTGAGTCCATGAGACTCTTATCTCCAATTAACCACCAGAAAATGGGAAGTAGCACGGTGGCTCAAGTGGCAGAACTCTTGCCTTGAGCTGAAGAGGTCATGGACAACATCCAGGCCCAGAGTTCAAGCCCCTCAATGGACAAAAAAACAACCAGAAACAAAAACAAAAAAACAAAAACTAGCCCGTGAGCTTGACTGACTCATTTGCTGAGCCAGATGAGCTATAACTATCCAACTAAAATAATTTTGTCCCCTTGCCAAATGCCTGTCCTAAATATTCCTGATGTAGGAATATCCGTACTTTGTATATTCCCCATTCCTAACTTCAAAATATTTTTCAAGAATTTTTATTAGAATATATTTTTTGTATGAGTTCTGGTGTCACTACCATCATACACACATACACAGAATGTACTCAGATCACACTCATCAACTCTCCATCTTTCTCTCTCATGCTCTTTCTCTTTTCTTAAAAGTTTCAACAGGTTTGACTGTTCTATTTTCATATATCCACATAAAGTGCTTTGACCATATTCACCCTCTCATCCACCCTCTCCATTGCCTGGTCTCTCCCACTGGTACCAGTTGCCTAAACACAGCCTGTTTTACTTTCCTATGATTTATTATTTTTCAACCTATATTGATTGTACAAAAGGTGATCACCATGGTAATTTGTTCTCTCACCTTATCCTTTGCTTTTACTATACATTTTATATGGATATAATGCAAACAATTCACTACATTGACATTACTTGCCATATAAAGAGCTAACATCTTTCTAGGGAGAACAAGAAAACAAAGTAACTATTTGAGTTTCTCCTTCCAAAATAAGTATATCTTACCTTTACAGCCTGAACACTGAATAAAAAAGTTGATAAGGTCAAGAAGTGCTATATCTCGGTCATGCTTGTATGATTCTATCCAGTCATCTACCACCGACTATAGCAAAGGAAAAAAAGAATTAAGTCATTGGCTTTTCTGCATGTTCTAAGAATCAATTTCAATTAACATCATAAAATTTAACAATGTAGGATTACATTGTTACAGATTCAAATGAAGGAAAATAATTGTCTATTTTTATTAGGTTGCAATCATATAAAGTACAGTTATCACTTCTTAATAATACAAGATCCTAAAATAAACATTAGTCATATTTATTTCTCACTAGATATACATAATATATAGTATTTTAAAATTCAAACTAAATATAGAATGATCACTTGAGGAAGGGTGAGGAAAAGAGGTTAAATTGGGAGGTTGGATATGATTAGCACGCACTATGTACAATGCATTTACATCAAAGCCCATCAGTACATACAATTTGTACATACTAACAAAAAATACAAGTAATATTTAAATACTAACATAAGTCACAAAAATCAATGTGATATAATCACTATCAAGATCACAGCTGGTTTATCAGCAAATACCAAAAAGCTGATCCCTAAAATTCTTTTTTTTTTTTTGTTCAGTCATGGGGCCTGAACTCTGGACCTGGGCGCTGTCCCTCAGCTCTTCAGCGCAAGGCTAGCGCTCTACCACTTGAGCCACATCGCCACTTCCGGCATTTTTCTTTTTGTTTATGTGGTGCTGAGGAATTGAACCCAGTGCCTCAGGCATGCAAGGCAAGCGCTCTACCACTGAGCCACCTTCCCAGCCCCACCTAAAATTCTTATGGTAATGCAAGGGACTCTAAATAGCCAACTCAGTTTTGAGAAAGGACAATCTGGAAGACTCATATGCCATGATTTCAACTACTACAAAGCTGCAGTAATCAAGACAATGGAGTACTGCCCTAAGTATAGAAATGCAAATTAATGGAATAATATTCATAGTACAAAAACAAATTATTACATTGATAGTTATTTGCTTTTAAATATGTCAAGAAAGAAAAATCATCTTTTCAAAAAATGATTATGGGGTAGCTGGGTGCCAGTGTTCTCATGTCTGTAATCCTTATTATTCAGGAGGCTGAGCTCTGAGGTTCAAGGTTCAAAGCCAGGCTGGGCAGCAATGTTTGTGAGACTCCGATCTCTAAATACTAAAATGCCAGGGATGGACTTATATAGCTCAAACCAGAGAATGCTAGCTTAGCTACAGAGTGCAAGCTTGAGTTCAATCCCTAGGACTGGCAGATACATGAACGAACACACACACACACACACACACACACACACACACACACACGCCTGGTACAACTGGACACACACACACACACACACACACACACACACACACACACACACACACACGCCTGGTACAACTGGATAGCCTTATGCAAAACAAAAGAAAAAATCTAAGTTGAATCCTACCTCACACTACATACACAATATTTATTTAACTCAAATGATTAAATATCTATTTCAAAGAATTCCAACAAGAAAGTAAAAGTACAGGCTGGGAAGGTGGCTCAGTGGTAGAGCGCTTGCCTTGCATGCATGAGGCCCTGGGTTCAATTCCTCGGCACCACATAGCAAAAAGAAAAAAGCCAGAAGTGGCGCTGTGGCTCAAGTGGTAGAGCCCTAGCCTTGAGCTGAAGAGCTGAGGGACAGTGCCCAGGCCCAGAGTTCAGGACCCATGACCGGACCCCCCCCAAAAAAAGTAAAAGTACAATAAATTGAAGAAAATATTCACAAATCATATATTTGAGATTTTTAAAGAGTATATTCATTAGTATGCATGAGATTGATCCTGGGTTAAAACACACACACACACACACACACACACAACACACACACACACACACACAACATACCAAAAAATCAGTTAAGGCTGGGAATGTGGCTTAGTGATAGAGTGCTTGCCTAGCATGCATGAAGCCATGGGTTCATTTCCTCAGTACCACATACACAGAAAAAGCCAGAAGTGGCACTATAGCTCAAGTGATAGAGTGCTTTGAGCATAGAGAGGCTGAGGGATAGAGCCCAGGCCCTGAGTTAAAGCCCCAGAACCAGAAAAAAAATACAGTTAAAAATTATACAGAAGTGGCGCTGTAGCTCAAGTGGTAGAGCGCTCGCCTTGAGTTGAAGAGCTGAGGGACAACGCCCAGGCCCAGAGTTCAAGCCCCACAACCAACAAAAAAAAAAAATTATACAGACAATGGGTCAGGACAGGTCTAAAAGACTATATGCAAAATGCCAACAAATGCATGAACAGTTCAATACCAGTAGTGATCAATAAAATGTAAATGAAACAACAATGAGATAATTACTTCATATCTACTAGAACCCATCCACTGACTATAATTTTTAAGACAATATCAAATATTGGCAAAGATATGTGAAATTGGAACAATCAAACATGGCTGGTAAAAATGTAAAATGTGCAGTCACTTTGGAAAAAGTTTGGCAGCCCCTCAAAAAGTTAAATATAGAGTTACCATATGACACTGCAATTTGACTCCAAGGTATTTATTACCCAAGAGAAATAAGACCATAAGTCTACATACTTAAAAAGAATCATCCAAACTAGCCAAAATGTAGAAAGTAACCAAATGTGCATCTAAGAATGAATAAATAAAATGTGGAGTATATTGATACAATAATTGTGGCAAACAGGATATTGTACTTACTACATGCTTCAAGATAGATGTATCTTAATAATTGTTATGCAAAATCAAAGAAATCATATAGAACCACAAATTACATGATCTTACTTATATGAAATGTTCAGAATAGGCAAAAACATAGGAAGTAGGATGGTGGTAGCTTAGACCAAGAAAGGCAGAAGTTAACACTAATGGGACATAAATTTAATTCTGGAATGTGCATTTTTCTCAAATTAGATTGGTAGGGTAGCTGAAAAATTCAGTGAATAGTCTTTGGAAAAGTATGCTAAAACTAATTTCATAAAATTCAATATCTATTATTTAATAAAATTGAGGATATAGTCACGCACTGGTGGTTCACACCTGTAATCCTAGTCAAGAGGCTGAGATCTGAGGATCATGGTTCAAAGCCAGCCCAGGCAGAAAAGTTCCCCATGAGACTCTTATCTCCAATTAACCACTCAAAAACTGGAAGTGGTGCTGTGGCTCAAAGTGGTAGAGGGCTAGCCTTGATAAAAGTGCTCAGCGACAATGCCCAGGGCCCAAGTTCAAGCCCCACAACCAACCAAAAATAAATTGGAGGAAGCATAGTTTCCTTTCTTAAAATATGAGAACTATTTTTTAGATCAATAACCAATAGTGTAATTAATCACTATCACCTACTATGACAGGTCTAACTCTGGGAATACAAACTGTGAATACACAGATCCATAATTTTAAAAAATTATAAATGGAAGTGGAACTGTGGCCCAAGTGGTAGAGTGCCAGCCTTGAGCAGGAAAAGCCAAGCAAGAGCACAAGACTCTTTAAGTCCCATTATCAGAATGTGCATGTGCTCACATGCTCACACACACATTAATAATTGAGAATCAAAGTAATGCCCAAGAATGCTTTCCAGAAAAGTGACATTTGATTAACTCCCCTTATTTAAAATGGAAGAGAGGAAAAGAAACTATTCCAGGCATCTCAACAGGCGAAAAAGGAAATAGCCAAATGGAATGCCTCATGCCTATTACCTTAGCTTCTTAGAGAGTCTGGGCAAAAAACTTACAAGACCTCCATCTTAATAAGCTAGGTATGGGGGTACAAGCTAATCATACCAGATATGTGATAAGTATAAATGAGAGGATTACAGTCCAGGATGGCCCAGGCAAAAACAATAATATTATGTGAAAAGTAACAAAAAGGCAAAAGTGATGAGGTATGATTCAAGTGGTATAGCACCTCCCTACCAGACCCCACCACCACCAAATAGATAGAAATATCGATAGAGACAGATGAAATAAGAAACTGAGATAATGTACTTATTTGTTAAAATTAACCCAAAATGGAACTGAAGGGAAGAATGTATTTTTTAAATCAAGTCAGAACTAAATAAAACAGCAATAGTTTTATTTCTGAAAAGCCAAATGTGTACATGTATTCAATTATCAACACAACAAAAAGGAAAGAAAATGCAAACAGAGAAAAAGAAATTCAAACATGAATTTTAAATGATCACTTAAAAGATGGAACAAGAGGGGCTGGAAAGGTGGCTCAGTGGTAGAGTGTTTGCCTCACGTGCATGAGGCCCTGGGTTCGATTCCTCAGCACCACAGAAACAAAAATGCTATGGCTCAAGTGGTAGAGTGCTAGCCTCGAGCTAAAGGGCTGAAGGACAGCATCCAGGCCCAGAGTTCAAACCCCACACCACCCCCACCACCCGCAAAAAAAGATGGAACAAGAGCCAAGTATATTAGCTCACACACGTAATCTTAGCTACTCAAGAAAATGAGATCATGAAGGTGTGGTTCAAGGCCAGCTCAGGCAAGAAGTTCACAAGACCCCTATCTCATGTAAAAAATTGTACTTGGCAGTGCACTCCTGTAATTCTAGCTATGACAGGAAGCATAAATAGGAGGATCACAGACCAAATCTGACTGGGCAAAATTTGAGACCCGATTGAAATAGTAACCAGAGCAAAAAGGGCTAGAGGCATTACAAGAGCACTTGCCTAGAGACCTGAGAACCTGAGTTCAAAATACAAGCCCACAAAAAAAAATCAAACAAGAATAATTCCACACTTTAATCATAACTATACAAAATAAAAATCATTAATACTTGAGAGCTAGCTATGTAGTTCAACAAGACCATGAGTTCAACCTATACATACAAAAGATACAGATAAAAGGACTTATGAATGAATGGACATACTGCTGGAGTTTTGAGCAGATTGTTATACAATTAGAAAAAAATCAAGATGATATTTTATAGTAGTGACTAAAATTTAAAATGAATGAATAAAGCTAGGAATGTAGCTTAGTCGTACAGTATTTGCCTAGCATGCATGAAGCCCTGATTTCCATTTCTCAGGACCACTTAAACAAAAAAGGCCAGAAGTGATGCCGTGAAAAGTGTTACAGTGCTAACCTTGAGCAAAAGAAGCTCAGGGACAGTGCCCCGGCTCTGAGTTCAAGCCTCAGGACTAGCAAAAAAATGAATAAATTGTAAGGAACACCATATTACCTGCATAGCACTCTTGCCCATTTTAACAACTTCAAACAACATCATGTTTCCCACTCCATTCTGTTGGTGGTGACCATTCATTCGGTTTGGCCCAGAAGGAGGCTTTCCTCCTCCATTTCCACTTTTGCCCTTTTCTCCTGGGCCCTTTTTGCCTTTTTTACAAGTCTGCATAAAAAAATACAAGTTAGTTATGTCACTACCCCTCAGAGTTGAAAACAAAAGCTACTACAAAAGCAGGTGATAGAATACACAATTATAACATGCTTAACCTTGACCTGTGAAAGAATGCCATGCATATGTAAAAAAATTATAAAATTACAACTGCTTCTTTGTCACTTCACTTTTTTCCATGTTATACAACATGAACTTTACATTATGATGTAGTTAGTAGAACAGCCTCTTCTGACAGACTAAGTAATCTCAAATTTCTCCTCCTATTCATTAGAGTGATTTGGGCCAAGTTATTTAACCACATTGTGTTTCAGAGGCTTCTTTCTAACTTGTAAAGTGGAAGGTAAACTATGTATAATAGGGTTGATATGATAATGAGGACACAAAGTGTTTATTAGGAATACATTCAGCTCATAATAAAGTCTAAAATAGATACATCTACTATTATAACCATCAAATAAGAAAATATCCATTAAAAGAAGCTATACAAATGTTATCCAAGTTTGCCAGAAAGACCAACTAGATATGAACAATTTCCAAATTTGCACCAATTTTGATAATCAATGTGAAATCACATTAAAAGTTCTCAAAGTATCAATGAAGTTTGAAAATCACTGTAAAAAAAACTTCAAAAGTATAATCAGAAAAATTCCCACAAGTGAAAATGGCTATCTTCAAGCTTTATCATAGTCCAGTCATGCTGACAGAGTACAGAGTTGATGAAAAACTATACAGGAAGTGACAATACAAAGTAGTGTAAGCAGTAAACATGGCCAGAAATGGAGCTATGGCTCAAGTGGTTGAGCACTAGCCTTGAGCAAAAAAGCTCAGGCACAGTACCCAGGCCCTGAGATCAAGTCCCAGGTTTGGCAAAAAATAAAATAACAAGTAAGGATGCTAGCCTCTAACACTCTTCTGTATACCTAACACAGAAAAAGCAGAAACTCTAATAAAAGATTTTAGGAGGTAGTAAAAAAAAAAAGATTTTAGGAGGTAGTATAGTACTATCTCAACTTGTGAATTAAATCAAAAGCACAGACCTGAACTTACATCCTTTAATACTTGAGCTTACCCAGACCTCATCTTCCTTTCTATAAAAATACGCAAGTTTTCTAATTTTAATTTAATATGGAATTTAAAAACATGTAACACTGTTACCACAGTGCCTACTACACAGTATAGTGTTGAAATGTAGATGTTCTTATCATTGGAATAAATTTTTGACTGTAATACCTCACTCTCAGCAAAGACTATATACAGTTAACCAAACTGTATCATAGAAATTTTAGAGAGGTACAGAGAATAGCACTGTCATAGAAAACATGTTTATCATGCACGAAAAATCCTTGATTTCACCCCTAAACCAACAAAGAAAAATCTTCAGAGATATGCTTCAGCAGCATGTTTGCTAAAATTGTAGCAATATAGAAAAGATTAGCATAGCCCCTGTGGCAAGAATCACAAGCAAATTCATAAAGCATTCCAGTAAAGAAAAATCTTCAGGTCTGGAGGCAGGACTCAAGTGGTACCATCCCTGTTTGGCACTAAGTTCAAAGACCAATACCAAAACAAGAAATGTTTAAGCTGGGCACTGGTGGCTGCTCATACCTGAAATTTTAGTTATTTGGAAGGCTTAGAACAGAAAGGTCAGTTTTTCAAGGCCAGCCTGGACAGAAAAATTCAGAAGACTCCTTCTCAATGCATACATGGCACCGTGCTGTACACCTGTCATCCTGAACTAAATGTTAGACTGAGATTGGGAGGATTATGGTTCACGGCCGGACTGGGCAAAAAAGAGACTCCATCTCAAAAGAGGAAATCTGGATATAGGATCATGTGCCTGTCATTCCAGCAACCACTGGAAGCCTCAAGAAGGGAAATTGCAGTCTAGTCATGTACTCAAGTAGGAAACACAATCCAATCTCAAAAATACTCAGCAAGAGCCAGGCGCCAGGGGCTCACACCTGTAATCCTAGCTATTCTGGAGGCAGAGATCTGAAGATTGAAGCTTGAAGCCAGACTGAGGTTTGAAGCAAGACCAGGCAGGAAAATCCATGAGACTCTTATCTCCAATTAACCACCAGAAAACCAGAAATGGTGTTGTGGCTCAAATTGGTAGAGTGCTAGCTTTGAGCACAAAAAGCCGAAGCACAGCACCCCACCCCTGAGTTCAAGCCCCACAACCCACCAAAAAAAGTAAACTAAGCACTCGCCTTGAGCTGAAGAGCTGAGGGATAGCGCCCAAGCCCAGAGTTCAAGCCCCACGACCCACCAAAAAAAAAAAGTAAACTAAATTAAAAATGATTTTCTTATGAACAACCATGCACTGTACACTAGAATTACAGATATGTTTGTTTTGGATATTCATGATCTGGCATGTCTAGTCACACATATCTCTCAAAACTTCTACCTTTTGAGGAACTAAGAAATAGATGAATTAGGAAGACTATAAAGAGTATTCCAAGGGTTTGTTAAAAAACAATTTTCCATACACAAAATGTAATGGTACAACATCATTAAAAACTGCAGAGATATGTAATGAGTAATGAGAAAGTAATCAACAAAGTATCAATTGAGTTTTCAAAACATACTGTTTATTATGATTCCATTTAAGTAAAATTCTACATGCAGGTTTATAGTAAGTATATGTAAGAATGTATTTACCAAAATGTTTAAAGAATAAGTACATTTCTTTTAAGTAGTGTAAAACTTCTTTTAAATGTCATTAGAAAATTTAAATCCAAAATCATTTTGGGAAAAAAATGCAGAAAAAAATAAAAACAAACTCTCTTGAACAAGTTATTTATTTAATATACATGTCAAATATACCTTTCAAAGCCTCTGCATAATTTAATGATTCACCAAGTTATCCATAGCTTAAGACTATCCTATTCAGTGTGTATATTTCTTCACTAAGAACTTACATAAATTTTTATCTTTGCTGTTATTCATAAAAGTAAAATGAATGTCACTAGTAACCCATTAGCCATATAATGGCAGTCTGTTGAATCTGTAGTGTACTCTAGAATAAAAATGTTTATGTATTATTATGCTCTGTAATTTGGAAAATATAACATTTATAGTACATTTATGAGAAAATAATAAAGCAAATAAACACCATGATTTGCTTAGCATACTATGATTTTTACAAATGTACTGAAATAAATGACGTGTTCTTAATTTCAAGTTTTACAGCAGTGCATACAAATAATCAAAACCTATTTAGTCCAGAAGAATAAAAGGTGTATATTTATTCCAATGTCTTGCCATACTAGTCAGGCCATAAAACAAGCCATTTAAAAAAAATAAAATTCCATCTCTCTTAAGTGTCCCTATCTCCTTTCTCCATTTCTCTCACCCTTTCCCAGGCCCCACACCCTTAAAATCCAAAATAAATAGAGGTGAGAGACACTGGTTGACAGGGTAAAGAGTTTCCAGCTAGCAAGCACAAACTTTACCCGCCACAAAACAAAAAAAAATTAAGTTACATATTTGGTGCATACCTTTCCTTTGCCTTGTTTCTGGTTTTTTCCTTCAATATCTTCAAAATCTGTGTCAGAAGAAAAATGTGTTTCTGACTCCCTGAAACAAAAAGATAAGTACATATTTAAAGCCTTCCTTAGAAATATATGTGCCAAATGGGGGAAGGGATAACTGGCCAAAAAGAAATGTACTCTTTACCTGACAGTATGTAACTGTAAATCCTCTGTACATCACCTTTATAATAATAATCTTTCTTTAAAAAACACGGATACTGTTTCAAATTTTTGCAACTTTTCTAAACAAAAGTTGACTCGTTACAAAATTCCTATTAGAGTTAAAAGTGATTAAGAAACTTTCCTTAGAGATACTGTAGAACATTTACAAACATATAAGATTATATAACCAAGGGAAAGTGGGAGAAAAATGAGCGAATGTATAACAATGTTCAATAAGAAATGTACTCATTACCTAACTTATTTAACTGTAACCCCTCTGTACATCACCTTTACAATAAAATAAATTTTTTAAAAAAGATTATATAACCAATTACAATAAAAGTAATCTAAAATACAAATATCTAAATATCTGATATTCAAATTGGTACCAGGGTTTGAATCAGGGCACTATGCTTGCTATGGAGATGCTCTATCACTTAGGAGTATACCCTCAGCCCTATTTTATTAATTTTTTTTGCTGTTCCTGAGGTTTGAACTCAGGGCCTGGGCCCTGTCCCTGAGTTTATTTTTGCTCAAGGCTAGCTCTCCATCACTTGAGCCACAGATCCACTTCTGGCTTTTTCTGTTTATGTGGTACTGAGGAGTCCATCCCAAGGCCTCACGCATGCAAGGCAAGCACTCTACCACTGAGTCACATTCCTAGCCCTGTTTTATTAATTTTTAATCAAACTATTATAACTAAATGAACTGCTCTTTAATTTAAGCCTAGGACCTGTGGTATTCTATAGTAATAGCTGATTCCATTTTCTGGTTCAAGGACCCCAAAGCTATGGTAAACTATATTTTAACACCCAACATTAGATAAACTTTATTAGGGAATTTTAGCAACATTATGGATCTTCTGACCTCTCCCACATCACAAAGAAAACGATTCTAAGTCTAACTCACTAAATACTAATATTACTTTTCTTAATCAACTAAATCATTTGATATATAGTAAAGAAATGTGGTAAATTTTCAAACTCCTTTAGGAAGTAGAAGTACTGAGCTATTCGGGAGAAGTAAATCTAGAACTAAATAACTATATGAACTTATACAAGTAACATTTCAATATTTTCATCTATAACAATATATATGCAGAAAATCAGGCAATCCCTAAAGTCTCTCCACTCTTCAACACATAAATCTATCATCTTAAAAAAAATTTCTCACCGGGCGCCAGTGGCTCATGCCTGTAATCCTAGCTACTCAGGAGACTGAGATCTGAGGATTGTGGTTAAAAGCCAGCCAGGGAAAGGGGAGACTCTTATCTCCAATAAACCACTAGAAAACCGGAAGTGGTACAGTGGCTCAAGTGGTAGAGCACTCACCTTGAGCTGAAGAGCACAGGGACAGTGCCCAAACCCAGAGTTCAAGCCCCACACCGACCAAAAAAAAAATTCTCCTTGTTTTAAGAGTGGATGACACCACTGTATAATGTGGATTTTCTCACACACATAAGGAAGCAGATCAATTTGAAGTAACATGAAATTTTCTGTATGTTTAAACATGCATCTAAGTAGCCACATACATTCAATTAAATGTTGAAAACAAAACATACTTACACTGATGTGTAAGGAACAATGGACTTTAGAATTAATCCACTCAAAAAATAATAGTTTTACCACTCTAAACGTGAAAATTTAGTATCAGTTTTAAGTGAGGCCAAAGGGAAAGGCTATCTGCGTAACTGTAAAAATGTGATCATTACTCTTCCAATATTTCAGTGGCCACAGTGTAATCAAAGGCTCAGTTATATTTTTAATTTTCCAGGCTATCCCAACTACAAAAATAAGCCACTAGGGATTTTTTACTAAGTGAAAAAAAATTCTGAAAAAAAAATCTGAAGAGAATAATCAGAATAGGAGTAGAAACTAACACTCAACCAGAGAAAAAAAGTTTCCCAAATGTTTTGCCAATGATGTTACATGTTTTAAATCAAAGAATAGTATGCTACACTCAAGATAAAATAACATGTTTATATGTTGATAGCAAATACAAAGTTAACCCTTCTGTGGTTTAAAACTAGTCACCTATCACATGAACGAATCTTCTTAACACTCTTCTTCATTGTGCCCTCATCCCATATACCCAATCGAATGCTAAGTTATTTGGCCCTCATAACACATCTTTTTTTTCAGAACCTTATTACTTAACATATTCTAATAGTGAATGTCAAAGTCTATAATATAAACCTTTAATAGTCTTTAATCTTAATGTATTAAAAAATTTTCATAATCCCCTCTGTATATTTTTAAAACAAAAGCTCATAAAGGCAGAAATATCTAACTTAATGCCTCACAGAATCTAATACAATGTCCTATATATGAGGCACTTAATGAAACAAAAATAGTACTTTACATTCACTAAGACTTTTAAGTGGAATCCTCACTAAAAATGCTGTCTTGGGAAACTTCAATATCTTTGATAATTTTGAATTAAATAAACCTCAATTTCTTTCTCAATTAACCCATGTCCTCCTGCAAACATAAACAAATGTTTCCTCAAGAATCTTAAAACCAAACCTACTTACACTGGAATGGAAAAATTATACTTTGAGGGCTTGGGGTATAGCTTAGTGTTGGCATAGTATGCACAAAGTCCTAGGCTTGATCCCAGAACAGCAAAAGTCATACTCTGAAATATTATTAATATCCCAGAACAGACATGATATCCACTAAGGATAAAATTAAAAATATAAAAATCAGGCTGGGAAGTTGGCTCAGTGGTAGAGTGCGTGCCTCGCATGGGGCCTTGGGTTCGATTCCTCAGCACAACATAAGCAGAAAAAAGCTGGAACTGGCACTGTGGCTCAAGTGGTAGGGCGCTAGCTTTGTGCTAGAGAGCTGAGGGACAGCGCCCAGGCCTAGGGTTCAGCCCCCACGACTGACAAAAAAAAAAAAAGAAATTTAAAAATCTATGTATCACCAGAAGGTGATACTGGCTGACACGTATAGTGGTATCTACCTGTTATGTTCCAAATATTTAGCAAGCAAATTCTCTTTTTAAGGCAATTCTCATAAAGGACCAAACAGAAAATACAAGGTGGAGAGAATAAAGATAAAGGAATCTTTGGGCAGTTTTAAAATTCATTTATTTACTTAAGTACCTTATGGAACTGGAATTCAATATGAAAATTACTGATACAGGAACTCACTAAGTAGCCTGGGCTAACCTCCAACTCACAAACCAGGTATGGTGTCCCAGACCTGCAATCTAAGAACTCAGTAGGCTGAGGCAAGCACATCAGAGTTTGAGACATAGCCAGCCCAAGCAACAGTGTAAACCCTCTTTGAAAAGGGGGAGGAGAGGCCAGTAACTGGTAGCTCACACCTATAATCCTAGCTACTCATGACACTGAGATCTGAGGATTGCAGTTCAAAGCCACCCAGGGTAGGAAAGGCTGTAAGACTCATCTCCAATTAACCGGCAGGAAACAATAGATGGAGCTGTAGCTCAAAGTGGTAGAGTGATAGTCTTGAGCAAAAGAGCTCAGGGACACTACCTAGACCCTGAGTTTTAAGGCCCAGGACTGAAAAAATGGGGTGGAGGTGAGGAATATTTAGAATAGGAGACTGAGGAGTACTATTAGCAGCCTTAAGACAAGTTGGGGGAGCCAGGTGTGTTTAAAGGACAAACCTATGTTAAAAAGCACTTTATAGACCAATAGGAATTTAACTTTTTTCTGGTAAAAATGATGGACAGCATGTCCTTATCTTCCTTAGATAGGCTTACTTAAGTTTATAACAGAAACATGAACTTACACTCTAAATCTACCACCTAACATATACTTGCTCCTAATGAGAAAACTTTTTTAAAATTTCATGACATTACCTCAAACTACCTACTACAAAATCAAATATAAATTGAGAATTGGACACCAAAAGCAGTAACTTTTCCAGTATGTAAATTTAAAACACAGCACCAACAGAATGGAATGTTAACTACTAAAGAGTCCAAATGAACAAGTGATAAAACTTTCAAAAAATACACTTATATGTTAGATAAATAAATTTAACCAAGTTACCATTTCCTGTTTTGTGGGGAAAAACCAACTATCTTAAAACTTATATCAATATTTAATTTTTTTAAATTATGACAGCATTGGGTACAGCAGGGGAATCACAAGATCAAAACCAGTCTGGGTATCTCTATATGTAGTCTTTTGAGGAACCCTCCATACTGCTTTCCAGAGTGGTTGAACACGTTTACACTCCCAACAACAATGCAATAGGGTTCTCTTTAGGCCACATCCCCTCCAGCATCTGTTGTTATTAGATATCTTGATTATAACCATTCTAATGAGGGTGAGGTGAAATCTCAATGTTGTTTTGATTTGCATTTCTTTTATGGCCAGAGAAGTTGAGCATTTCTTCATGTGTCTATTGGCCATTTTTATTTCTCTTCAGAGAAGACTCTTTTAAATCTTTAACCTACTTGTTGACAGGAGGTTTGTTTCTTTGAGGATTTGTTTTTGGAGGATTTAATTTTTTGAGTTCCAAGTATATTTTAGATATGAGGTCCTTGTCTATGAATATCTTCTCCCAGTCCGTGGGCTTTCTATTGGTTTTGCTAGCTATGTCCTTCGTCATGCAGAAGCTCTGCAGTTTCATGCAATCTCATTTGTCCATGTTCTTTGATTTGTTGTGTTTCTGGGTCTCTATTAAAATTTTGGCCTGTGCCAAGGAACCCTAGAGTTTCTTCTATTCCTTTCTGTAATGTTTTTAGAGGGTCTGCTTTGACTTTGAGGTCTTTGAAACATTTGGAATTGATTCTGGTGCAGGGTGATATATAAGGATCTAACTTTAGTTTTCTACAGATGTTTAATCAATTTTGCCAGCATCATTTCCTGAAGAGGCTGTCTTTCTTCCATGCTATTTTTTTCATTCCCTTATCGAACATTTGGTGGCTATAGGTCTGTGGGTTCATTTCTGGGTCTTCAGTTCTATTCCATTGGTCTTCAGGTCTGTTCTTGTGCCAGTACCAAGCCGTTTTGATTACTATGGCCTTGCAGTAGAGTTTGAAGTCTGGAATTGTTATTCCTCCAGCACTGTTCTTTCTGCTAAGGACTATTTTTCCTATTTGGAGTCTTTTATTGTTCCATATGAATTTTTGGGTTGCTTCTACACACAGAGCTCCCCTGTACCCAGCAATCCCACTTTTAGGCATTTACCCAAATGAAAACATTCAAAGCCATACTAACGCGACCAGCACAACTATGTTTATTGTAGCATTATTCACCACAGCTAAGATATGGAACCAACCCAGATGCCCCTCAGTAGATGAGTAGATCATGAAATTGTGCTACACACACACACACACACACACACACACACACAATGGAATTCTATGCTGCCATCAGGAAGAACAACACTGCCCCATTAGAAAATGGAAAGACTTGGAAAAAATCATATTAAGTGAAGTAAGCCAGTCCCAAAGAAATTTAGGTCCCATGGTTTCCCTTATTTGCAACAATTAGTATACATATAGAATAATATTATCAGATAAACTGAAAAGCTCAAAAGCTATGTACATATTGTAAGGATTATGCCCACCTTTGGTCCTCAGCTCCACCCAGATCTGAGCTCCTCCCTGCCCTGGAGTTCCTACCATATAGCTGGCCCCTCCCTCTCTCCGCCCAGACCCTGCTGCTACCTAGATAGTGGAGGCCTCCATGTGCTCTCTCACCAGGGAAATACAGCTCCTCTAATAAACCTTGTAATAATCTTTCTCCTGTGCCTGCCTGCCTCCGCATGGTCCCCTGGCATGGATGTGATCCTTTCACATATGGCCATATAAGATGACGCTAAGTGAAATGAACCCCAAGATATGGACACAAGAGGTCTTTGTTGTTGTTTTAAATGTACTATGTGATTCTCTTGGTTTCCTTTGTATTTTCTCCCTCTATGGTATATATCCTGTTGTCACTGTACTTGATTTTGGTACCCTGCATCTTGTATATACATTTGTCTAATCTAGGAATGGGAAGGGGACTAACAAGGATACAATGATACCACAGGACAGTATATTGGAATCAAACTTTAAAACTTGGGGGGGGGATAATAGCGGGACAACAACAAGGGAAGGGGTAACAATGATCAACAAGTAATATACTCATTGCCTTACTCATGTAACTGTAACCTCTCTGTACAGCATTGTTAAAATAAAATTTTTTAAGAAGTCTGCGCTACATACAGAAACTATGTCTCAAAAAATGACAATGAAATGTACTTACTGAAGTAGATTAAAATCAGTTGGTATTTCTGGAGCTGCTATCATTTCTTTATCATCTTCTGGAACACTCCAATATCAGAAATATATTCATATATTTATGTGAAGTAAGATGATAGTTTGCTTCCTCTAAGAAAGACAATTCCTTTAAAGAGAAAATGATACTTATTAAAACATGGCACAATTAAGATGTCCATACTCAAAAGTGAAATTCCCCAAGTATCTGCCCAACTGTTTAAAGATTCTTGCACCCTTAAATTTTACTACTTTTTTCTTTTTGGGTCTGGTCGTGGGGCCTGAATTCTGGGCCTGGGCATTGTCCCTCATCTCTTCAGCTCAAGGCTAGCACTCTACCTAGATATAAATTCATCAGAATTAATGGGCAGTGGTGGTTCACACCAATAATCCTAGCTACTCAGGAAGCTGAGATCTGAGGATTGCAGTTCAAAGCCAGCCAAGGCAGAACAGTCTGTGAGACTCTATCTCCTTTTAACCGCCAAAAAGCTATAAATGAAGCTGAGGCTTAACTGGCTAAGCTCTAGCTTTCAAGGGAAAACAAAAGCTCAAGGACAATACCCAGTCCCTAGGTTCAAGCCACAGGACAGAACTGAGGGACCGGAGGGAGGGAGGGAGGGAGGGAAGGAGGGAGACTCTTACTTTACTGGCCAGAAAATCCCAATGACAAGTTTAAACTATAATACTAGATGCCTAAACATTTGTGACTTTTGTTGATGGTGTACAGATATGATTTAAATGAGCTAATAAATAAAATGTAGCTGGGCGATGACGGCTCATGTCTATAATCCCAGCTATTCATGAGGCTAAAATCTGAGAATCATGGTTCAAAGCCATCTAGAGCAGGAAAGCCTGTGAGATTTTTATCTACAATTAACTATCAGGAAACCAGAAGTGGAGCAGTGGCTCAAAGAGGTAGACTGCTAGCCTTGAGTAAACAGAGCTCAGGAAGCCAGGCGCTGAGGATTGGGGTTCAAAGCCAGCCCAGGCAGGAAAATCCATGAGACTCCAATCTCTAATTAACTACCAGAAAACCGGAAGTGGGGCTGTGGTTCAAGTGGTAGAACGCTTGCCTTGAGCTGAAGAGCTGAGGGACAGTGCTCAGGCCCACAGTTGGAGCCCAATAACCAACCAAAAAAAAAAGAGCTCAGGGACAGTGACCACGACCAACAAAAAAGAAAATCTAGGATATAATTTTAAAATACCTTAAGAATAATTTTTTAATCCTTGAGGAAACAATGCAAAGCCTGGCCTGACTTACTAATACATAACTCCTTCATGATAATACCACAATGTTTTAAGAAACAAAAAGAAAATGTATCAAATTTAATCTATTTCTTTAAAGAATTTGTAGTCAATTTGCACATGATTAATGTCATATATTGCCTACTAAGGCTCTAGGTTCCATCCCCACCACAGAATGCCGCTTGTACCTAAAGTCAAGGATATTCAAGACTACACTGGGCTACATAGATATACCCCTTATATGAAAGAAAAAAATAAAAATACCACAGTGGTGGGTTTTACCTGTAAGCCCAGTTACTTAGGAGGCAAAGACTAGGAGGATCATGGTTTGAAGAGAGTCTGGGAAAAAGTTAGCAAGGTCTCATCTCAATCAATAAATCAGGTATGGTAGTCACACCTGTGATCCAAGGTATACAGAAACGAATAGGTAGAAGGATCATGGTCTAAGGCCAGTCAAGATAAAAATGAAGGGAGACCTTATCTCAAAAACAACTAAAGTAAAACAGAAGGTGTGGCTCAAGTGGTAGAATGACTACCTAAGCAAGCATGAAGATCTCCTAGGTTCAACTGTCAGTATTGCAAAGGGAAAAAGGGGGGAAAAAAGAATATCACCTGTAACTAAGTGTAGTTACAGGAAAGGTAGTTTTCTAGGATTGAAAGTGACAAGTGCATTTTAACATCATTTTACTGTTATTAATTTGTTGTCCAGAGGGGTTACCATTCCAAAGGTCAAATAATAAGTATCATTCTTTTGGACAATTTCACCTACAAATGCATCTTTTATTTATTTTTATTTTTTGGGGGTCCGGTTATGGTGCCTCAGCTCTTCAGCTCAAGGCTAGTGCTCCACCACTTGAGCCACAGCACCACTTCCGGCTTTTTTTCTTTTTGCTTATGTGGTGCTGAGGAGTTGAACCCAGGGCCTCATGCATGCAAGGCAAGCACTCTACCACTGAGCCACCTTCCCAGCCCCAAATGCATTTTTTAATAGAGATAATAATAAAATACCAAATTGCTAGGCTACAACAAAAAAGAGTTACAGGCTAAATCCAAGGTCTCAAGCCCTTAGATATTTGTTTTACATTTTTTTAATCCCAAAAGAATCTAGGTTAATGAATCTAAGCTAAAGAAAAAGCAGATATGACTAAACATATCCAATTAATTATACAAGCTAAAATATAACTGATGAAAGTCTAGTGGGTTTTTGTTGTTGTTGAGCGTGGGGCTTGAACTCAGGGCCTAGGCACTGTACCTGAGCTCTTTTGCTCAAGGGTAAGGCTCTACCACTTTGAGCCACATTGCCACTTCTGGTTTTTAGTGGTTTCAGTCAGAGACAAAAGTCTCATGGAGACTCTTCTGTCAGAGCTGACTTGGAACTGCAATCCTCAAATCTCAGCCTCATTAGTAGGACTAGGATTATAGGTGTGAGCCACCAGCTCCAGGCTTCATGAGACTCTATCAATTAGCCACCAAAAAGCCAGAAGTAGAGTGGCTCAAGTAAAGTGGCTCAAGTTGTAAAGTTCTAGCTTTGAGACCAAAACTCCAGATTAATACCCAGGCCCTAAGTTCAGACCAGGCCAGCATTTTTTTTAAAAGACAAAGAATATCCTCCCACTTTGAGTTTGTCTTTTATCTGAAATTTTATCTTATACAGCAAAATCACTAGATTTTATTATTATGTCCTCCCCTTGCTCTGAATCATTGCCCCAGTATTGTTTCCTTCCAAGACCACTAAGTAGTACAGCATAGTTCTGAGGGCATCATATATTTGTCCACATAACTTTTGTTTCCAAAAATACTGCCTAATGTTTAAAAAGAAAACTATTTTTCACCAATAAAGCTGGAAAAGCACAGCCCTAAATTAATTCTAACCAGCAGATCAGATCAACCAGATGGCAAGAGGAAAATAAAAAGTGGCTCACGCCTATAATCCTAATTACTCAGGAGGGTAAGAAGTAAGGATTGAGGTTCAAAGCCAGCTGGATGCTGAGCATCGGTGGCTCATGCCTGTATTCCTACGTGTTCAGGAGGCTGAGATCTGAGGATTGCAGTTCAAAGCCAGCCTGGGCAGGAAAGTCCTTGAGACTCTCCAATTAATGACCAGAAATCCGGAAGTGGCACTGTGGCTCAAGTGTTAGAGTACTCACCTTGAGCTGAAGATCTGAGGGACAGTGCTCAGGCCCAGAGTTCAAGCCCCAATACCAAAAAAAGGAAAAAAAAGGCCAGCCAGAGTAGGAAATCCATAAGACTCTTACCTCCTATTAACCACTATAAATCCAGAAGCTCAAAGGGCAGTTGAGCAAAAAAGTTAAGGGACAGTGCCCAGGCCCTGAGCTGAAGCTACAGGGGCGCAAGGAGAGAGTAGTCATGTAATCCCTACTGTGTTTCTGTCTCTCAGATCACTTTATAAAAATACAACTTTCTGGAGAGAAGGATGTAGCTCAGTGCAGTATTGCATAATTAGCTGGTGTTTTATTCCCAGCACCAAAAGTAATCCAAAATTTGAGCTTCCCTTCATCACCATTTATAAGGAGACAAAGATGCTTCACAAGTCAATTGCTAGTGGCTCATGCCTGTAGCTTCTCAGGAGGCTGAGAACTGAGGATCACAGTTCAAAACCAACCTGGTCAAGGAAATTCATGAAGTGCTAACCTTAAGCACAAAAGCTGAGGTACAGTGCCAAATCCCTGAGTTCATGTCCCAGGACCAGAATCTTCCCACAAGGAAAGAAAGAAAGAAAAAGAAAGAAAGAATGAAAGAAAGAAAGAAAGAGAAAAGAAAGAGAGAAAGAAAGAAAGAGAGAAAGAAAGAGAGAGAGAGAGAAAGAAAGAAAGAAAGAAAGAAAGAAAGAAAGAAAGAAAGAAAGAAAGAAAGAAAGGAGAGAAAGAAAAAGAAAGGAGAGAAAAAAAGAAAAAAATGTGAAAACTAGGCAAGTTTTTGAAGAAAACTTTTAAAATAAACAGCTGAGAATGTCTGTTAATGTCTTTTAATATGATTAATACATTTAGTTTATGCTGGAAAATCCAAAACCAGGAGAATATGTAATGCTTAAATAAAAGTATCATTTTGAAATTGTAAAGTCATTTCTGAACTACTGGTAATTAATTCTAAAAATATGCTCAAAAATAAAAAATATGCTCAAAGATCACAAGGTGGAGCTCTTACCTAATATCAAAAAAACAACTTTGAGGTCTCTCACATGTAGGAACTCTTAACTACTATAAAAAAAAGTTGTCATCTCAACATTGTTTGACAATAAAGGACACAAATGAAATTTGCATTAAGCCCCATCACTCATTTTCCTTCGAGGAAAAAACTTAACCAGAAACAAGTAGCTTTTTCTCTTTATTGAACACTAATCCATCACATTTATAAATTATGTGAATAATACAACTTAGGATCAAGCATACACAGTAGTCTCCTATCTAGTTTAGTTTACTGCAGGTTCACTTAATCCTCACCAAACACTTGCCCAAAAATATTAAATGGGAAATTCCAGAAACAAGCAGTTTTAACATTCCATGCCCTTTTGAGTAGCAGAATGAAAATTTTCACTATCCTCCATCTTATCTGATGTGTTGAACTATCCTTTTATCCAATGTACCCATGACAACTATATGCTATCTACCGATCTACTAGTCACTCAGTAGCTATCAAATCTATTACCTCAATATCACAGCACTTGTTTGCAAATAATCCTTGTTTTACTTAATTATGGCACCAACACACAAAGTTTCATACAGTACATGGCTTTTAATTGTTCTATTTTTATTGTTGGTAATCTCTGCCTAACTTATAGTTTATGAACTAAACTTTATGTATCATGTTCATATAGAGAAAAGCACAGTATACCATAGAGGTTAGCTCTATTTGTGGTCTGAAGGG